CTATGCCTTGGTTTTGCAGTTGTTTGAGATAGAGGACGTGTACGTTGAGGCTTATACGACTGCCAGAGCTGCAGGAAGCCAGCGTTGGCTGATGTTAGCCATTCTGGCTTATCCACCCAGCTGTTCTCGCAGTAGTATTTGTAGTATGGATGGAGGCAGGTAGCAGCGTAGTATGCTGGCGATCGATCGAGCTTGTTGTAGTAATCGTTGGCCTTACTCCAGGCGGCGCGGAGGTTAACAAAGAGGTGATCTTCAGGCGCATCAGGTGGGTTGAAGTCAACTTGCTCGTACGAGCGCGTACGGGCTTCGAGCGCGCCAAGTACGTATTCAAATACAGGAATAGTCTCATATATAGCGCCGTATTTGCCGGCCTTTCCGCGACCCTCAAGCTTCTCCGTAGCAAGCTTAAGCGGCTCTAGGCAGTCCTGATACTCTGTTATCACCGCCCAATCAGCAGCTGTAAGTCCTGTTGATCTCATCCAACTAGGTGCTTCAGGGAGTTTATTGCCACGTTGACAAGCGCGGCGATCTTCAAGGGAGAGTGCGTTAATGTAGTGCTCAGCGTAAGAGTTGTATGCTGCCTGGAGTTGAGTTGCGCGTTTGAAGGCAGCGTAGTAAGAGTTCCAGCGTGTAACAACAGGCTTCACAGGCTCAAGTACGTGGAGGCGCTCTCTAGCTGGCAACTCGGCGTTGGCGGCGGTTTGGAAGCTTCGGAAAATTTCGTGTTGTTGAGGCGTTTTTATATGGTTGATAACGTCGATAAGTACACCTAAGGGCCCTTCTTGACGCCACTCCTGCATGTACACCTCCTCTGTTTGGAGCTGCTCGTCGTTGTTGTTGTTGTTGTACGCCTCTTGATTGCTGCCAAAGATAATTGCCTGGCCAATAAGGTTAAGCGTGTGAGGGCCGCAGCGGAGGCGTCGGTGAGCAGCGTTGAAGTCGTACGCGTGGGCGAGCGAGGAGACTGCAGTATCGTTGTTTGCAGCATTGTCGAGGACGAAGTAGCCGAGTTTATCACTCCCAATACTGTATTCTTGGAGCGTCTTTTTAATTGTATCAGCGATAGCATCACCAGTATGAGAGCCTGCGAGATGTGGGAGGGCGATGGGGAGATCTTGTATCACTCCAGAGGCGTTAGCAAAGTGTGCAACGACTCCAAAGAATCCACGCTTGCCACCCTTTGTCGTCCAACCATCAAAGCTTATGTGGATCTTGCTTGCAGCTTCTGACAGAGCGCAGACAATCTGTGGCTGCATATATTGGAAGAGGCGCATTGCGTAGGTAGCTACACTGCGAGGACTTACCCACAAAGCTGCCTCTGCCTCTGGGTTTGCAAGGCTAATCATCTCGCGAAAGGACGGCCTTGCAAGTAGCTCCATTGGCAAGTTGTTATCAAGAAGGCAGAACACTGCAACTTCACGAAACTGCTGGATGTTGAAGTTGCCCATCGCGTTGGCAGCCTCTTGAGAGACTGCAACACCAGTCTCCAGCGTCTGTCGTAGAGAGAGTTGCTGCCCTGTTCTTCGAGGCTTCAGGCCGTCTTTTGTAAAGCCATGGCCTCGTTTCTGAAGGCCAAGATGAGCTGCAGCTGAGGAGGTGGCCTTTGATACGTCAAAAACTCCACTGCCGCCAGTGTCAATGACCTTGTGGATGTGGCAGTATTTGCATACAAACCACACTCGATTCTGATCGTAGAGCTCAACAACGCGATATCCATGTTGAAAGATCCAACTCTTGACGCGCCGCCCAGTTGTAAGAGGCTTCATGAACCGAGGGAGGCGATCCCAGTTAATGCCGTCAAAGTTATCGCCATTATCAGGCTATGTATCAACACTAGCCTCTGTTGTTGCTGCTGTACCAGCCTGGCTGCCCTCAGCCGCACCCTCCTCCTCTGTTTGCGACTCGAAAAATTGCGACTCAAACGTTGTGGCCTGGCTTACGGCGGCGCCAAGGGTTTCCTGAGGCGACAGCGATCGCTGAGATAGGACAGAGGGCCTTGATAGGCGCGCCCGTTTGGCGGCGGCGGCGGCGGCAGCAGTATTGGTGGGAACTCGAGAGCGTTTGGCCATCGTGGGCGATACTAAACACTAAAGAAAAATGTCTGTATAGGTAGCTAGGCAACTAGTGTTGTGTGTAAGGGATTATTAGGGAACTGAGTGAGCGAAATCGTTGTTGTATTAAGAACAGCGAAGGACTAGCTATATAGGTGCGGGGTGAAGCCTAGAAGAGGCTAGCCCCTAAGCAGAAGGAGCTAGTCCTATAAGAGGAGAGCTAGCTGGTGAGAAGTGAATGCATAGAGACTGGCTTGCCCGGCCGACAGGGATCACAAGCTAAGCGAGATAGGGGTCCAAGATAACTATCTTCAACACCAAAAACCTTCTCTTAATACGACACTACTCGCCTTACAACTCGTTAATAATAAATCAATCTAACTAATCAAATCAATCAATCTGACCTTCGCAAGTTGATTTGATTAGCTATTTTGAAAAGCTTAGATTGAGTTGATTGAGTTGGTAAAAACTCCAAATGACCAATCAAATCAATCAATCTGACCAATCTGGATTGATTGTTGCGGAGTCTGTCCGTCAGCATCGCCGCCGGCAGTCTCGCCCCTCCAGGCACTTCGCGCCCCATTTGGCCCTCGGCAGTGGCCTCAATATTCGCCGGCACGCTCATGACTTCCCTCCCGCCTTGGAGTCGCAGCACGTGTGAGGCGCGGATCCTGGCTTCCGTCCAGACGGCGCGGTGGGGGAGGGCAAGACTAGTTTGTACCCGCACGTCGGCGCGGATGTGCGCTTTCCAGAGGGAAAGGTCGTTGTGGTTACTGTCTATTGTTGTGAAGGCGTAGACTTGTGCGTCAGTGGGGACAGCATTGGGTGTTGCGACGAGTGTTTGCAGATTGCTAGTGACGGCGTACCAGAGGAGTTCTCGGTGGCGGTGCGTTCTAGTACTTGGATATGGACCACGGCATGTAAGCAAGGGTGTACTGGGCGGGCGAGCGCAGGTGTAGATGAGAGACTTAAGGTGCGGCAGGCGTATCGTCTGATCCGGTGTCGAATGGTCGATGAAAAGCATCTCACAACTTTCCACGCGGAGGCGTACATGATGCATTTTCGGAAGTATTCGACGAAGGGAGTCGCAGAGATGCGTTGTATCTCCCTCCATACGTGTATCGTAGCCGAGAGTATCGAGTTCGAGGTTTGCACAGGGCAGAGGTAACGCCTCCATCAGTTGAACTAGAGTGGACTGCGGAACTGTGTGGTGGTATCCTTTATCGAGCCAGAAGGAGAAAAAGCGAAGATTGGAGAAATGAGGGAGTAAGGCGATCAGCTGTAAGACTTGCTCAATATTTTCGTCGTATAGCTGGAAAGATATCGTGATGGAATGGATATACGCGACATATTTCCTCACATCCAGTTGCTCGCAGAATCGAACCAAATCATTATGCGTACGAGAAATATCCCCGTATAGAAGAGATATAGTGACCTCCCGCCAACCTCGGCTCACAAGTGAACATGACGTGAGGTCTTGAATGGTGTCACTGATCCGTTTGAGCTGTGTGAGTATATCGAATAGGACATCTTTGGGTAGTTTGGAGGAAGATGAAGTAGACATCGCAGGGTAGGGTGTTAATGCTGAGATTATCTTGCCAAGGGCGTAGCCTAACATACAGTAGGCATGCATAACTACTGCGCCAAGTTTAGTTAGACAGGGGAGTGCTTTAGCGTAAATGCCACCCCATTTAGTGGAATCAAATAGAGGTAGACACTGTTACAATACACAATCCTCTATTCAGAAGTCAGAAACCACATTTCCTGCATGACATCTACTTCACTTTTCAGTTTACGATATGGACATCCCATCCTATCTGCGACATCCTCCCAGCCTCGAGGCCCCAACCGCGCTTCCTCGCCCTTACTCTCTCTCTCTCTAGTAGGAGGTAAACAGCCAGCCCTCCCCCCCATACTATCTTATTAACAAAAGAACCCAAAACTGCATAATCGCATAAACTCACTACTTGTCGACGCCACACCAGTCGAAACAATCAACCTCATCAGTCCCCAGAAAGATATCCATCGGAACCTCCCTTGTCCAAACACATCTAAAGGTTGGTCAATCTTCCAGTGCAACTACCTCGGTCTCACACAGTTACAAACATGCCGCTAGACTCAACAAGGATTCCTTCCATTGTTCGAAACTTGCATCGAAGTCGGTATCCAAGCACTGCAGCTGCAGCAATATGTACAAGAAGCTGTGTTGAACCAGACGGAGGACTCACGCGATGCAAAAGCTATAAATTCTGGTTATCTTCATGAGAAACGAATGCCATGCGTTACCCATTGAACGCCTAATTCTTCTCTGTAGCACTACGTCAGCGGGGCGTGTACAGCTGAGTACAGATCATTCGGGTATCAAAGGTGAAGAGCTACAGCAACTGCTGTTTGCCGAGAAAAGTGAGGTGTAGCGCAATCACGTCACAAACTGTGTTAATAGCGTTGAGATACCGTTTCTGCAGCCACGAAAGGATCATCCTGAAATTCCGGGCTTTCGATATGTTCATTCCTGGGAGTCGGCTGTATTTAGATCTGTTGCTGTTGAAGTCAAGCTTGAGTACTGGGGAAGATTGGATGGGCTTGCTTATGTTTTTCGGGGAGGAGTATAAAAAGGCTTCGTGGGAGGCGCTGGTTGAACTGGGTCTGGGTTTACCGGATTTGGACGTTGGCTGGTGATAGTCCATGAAGGCTGCAACAAGAGAACGGCAGAGAGAATCTAGTTATTGTATACGAGAACGTGTATTCAGTGCCGAAACTCTACTTGATGTATTTATATATACAAGCCAACGCAAACAAGAACGCGCATAGCTTTGCAAAAACATAAAACGCCACTGCTAATCGCTTTGTTGTTGAACTTCAAGGAAACACAGAGTATTGTACTCAAGGGGAAAAAGTCTAAGGGGCTGAAAAAGTAGTAAAAGAAGCGCCGAAATGAAGAGAGGCAAGCTATGCTTCTCTTTCATCTGCTAGCGCAGCACGCTTGTCATCTGTGTCAATGTACACTGTAGTGTTGTTAGCATTGAGCAGAAAGGTGTAGTTGGAAGGTGCGACGTACCATGCGGTCGAATGAACCAGCTGCACAGGAATGCAAGACCGAAAGTTCCTGCAAGGCACACAAATACTGCTTGTCTGTACGTTCCGACAGTGGCGCTGTAAATACCGTTGAATACAGTCGGTCCCATTACCCGCGCAATAGCATGGAGCAAGCCAGTGGCGCCTAGTAACTGACCGACCTGATCCTGCGGTACATGTTTGGTCAACGCAGCACCAAGGGTAGGTGAGCCGATACCGCCGATGGCAGCGATGGCGCCTGACAGTGCGAACAGTTCACCCTTTCGAGAAAGTACAAAGCCGAGATAGCCGAGCGTATCGAACAGGATAGACGCGCGGATAATCGAGAGGTCAAACACATCTGAGCCTGAATTACGTTGACGCGCGTTCTTTCCGCGGAAGATGCGTGTAAGAATAGGTAGGATTATTAGGAGAGAGAAGACACGAGAACTGTTTACGATAGTGGTAAAGCGACCGGATTCAAGTTCGTGCCAGTCGAACTGGCGGCGAGTGTAGACTAGGACGACGCTCATGGCTCCCATAGCAACACCAAACATTATGGTATCGGTGGCAGCCAGAAGGATCAAGTTTCGGCGCACGGCAGACGAAGTACCTGGACCCGTGGGCCACAGGATCTTGAGAGGACTGAATAGGTTGATTGAGCGCAGTTGGTTGATCCAGTCCGCCGAAGGGTCTTTTCTTTCGAGTTCTTCTCTGTGTTTCTCTCGTGCAGTCTCTTGACGGGCTTTACTCAGTGATTCAGGGACAAGGAAGACAAGGAATGCAATGAATATGAAATGGGCGCCGAGTGCCATGTAGAAGATAAGAAGCACGGCTTCAGTCTTGCCAACGTACTTTTGGCGTGCATTGATGATATAACCAGCAAGGGCAGGTCCGATAGCAATCCCACCGAACAAACAGGCGTGAAAGTAGGAGAAGGCCACATTTCGCTTCTGCGGTGCGACACAGTCAGAAGCGTACGAGTGTGCACATGCCATGCCGACGATGAAAGACCCAGATATGCCTTCTAGGCAGTAGCCGACAAGGATCCAGTTGACATGCACCGTCTCGGGGAACTTTGCAGCCAGTATAGTGAGCACTTCGCCGAAGAGCGCACCGCATGTATTGGCAATCATGAACTTCTTCCTCCCGTAGCGGTCCGATAGCGCGCCGATCTTGGGGCTGATGATAGCAGACAGTATGCCGGAGCATAAGCTTGCATAGAGGAGGAAGAGCGAAGAGCGGGATGATACGGCGTCATTCTGGCATCTATCCTGCCCTGGGTCCATGGGGGAAGAAATTGGGTCTGTTTCGAGGGTGGCGTAGTACTCTTCGCAAACCAGATCCATAATCAGGTTTATCTTGGGCACTATGATACCTCCGAATGCTATAGTGAACAGCATGAAAGGCGGGAGTAGCCAGTATATCTGTGCCCGTCAGTCTGGCAACTCTCGATTGACAACGCCGTGTGCGCATACCGAAGGGCGCTTCCACCAGGGAAGACCTCGGAAGTCTGCGTCTCCCACCCATTCATACTCCTCATTGTTGTCATATTCATCGTCAACACTCCCATAGTCATGCCTCGAAGGGCTCAGAAGTGGTGCGTCTTCGTCGTCGCTGTCTCGTGTTGGTGGATTTACCCCTGACTTGGTCGGCCTCTTTTGATTGGCGCGCATCCGGAGCTCCTGCTCAACGTCGATTTCCTCGACAAATGCTGCGTCGGTGCTGGAAGCCATTGCGAAATGAGAGCGTCCCCTGACTTCTGTTGAATTCTGCGCTGAATCCGAGGATTCGGAGTATCGTGGGGTATTGTCCGAGTTACAGGGGCGTGGGCATTGCTGTAACTCGACTACGTCAACTGTCAGTTTGCTTTTCATTGGATAATGATAACGCGTGAAGAATGTTTCGCGACGACGTCCTGGCACGGAAACCAACGCGTCGCAGTTGTAATCCCTATCGGCATCGGAACATTGCAAGATGAGGGCTGAAATCAGCTTACCAAGAATAGAACGCCTCAAAGCGCACTGTGATGGCGACGCTCAGTAAGAATAAGAAAGTGTGCGACAAGGAGAGGCAAAGGGTCGGAATGTCAAGGCTGTATCTGCGCCATTGTTTCGCTAGCGCATCCTCTAGATAACACTGGCAAGGCGGGACATTTGTGGATTCGCTGTAAATACACGTCCATGACGTTGCCATGTGTCGCATATCAGGTCGGCCATTCGTTACCTGAGACCCCCGAAGCGCTAGTCCGGATATGGCTACTCGGAGAGGCTGATATCCCGAGGCCCGCCTTGTTTTGGAAAGTGGCTTTGTAAGCTCGCGGCCTTGTTGGCAAGAGTGAAGTAGAAGCAGGTTGTTTCTGCACCATCATAGCATCATCGAGAGGGTCAACCACTCACACGGAGCAGAACAGGTGTCATCAGCTAATTCTGCAGACGCTGACAAACATGACATACCCCACTGACGACAGAAATCCCAGGGGTCGAGAATGTCCATGACCGGGGTCATGGTGGGGTACCGCACCGAGACTTCTGGGTTGCTCATAACTAAGTTAGCGGCACGGTATAGAAGAACAAATGGCTCAAATACCCTCATTCATTTACGATCTAGGCTATTTCGCCAACACTGAACGACGCTCTGCAAATCCTTCAGCTTCGTGGGCTTGACAAGATACTGATCAACGCCCGATGCATATGCGGCGTTTCGATCCTTCGCACTGACAAGACCCGTGAGCGCACAAATATACGTGCGGAACTCGTCCTTCATCCGAGCTTCGGTCTCGCGGATTTGCCTCGCAACCTCAAAGCCCGATACGACGGGCATAGAAAGGTCGAGGAAAATGAGATCGAAGCGCTGCGAGCCGCCATCTCCGTCCAGCAGTGCGCCGTTGAATGCGTCAATGGCTTCTTGGCCGCCGCTCACAGAAGTTGAGGGTGTCTTGCTGCATCTTCGTGCATACATGCTGAGTACCTTGAGATTTACCGCGTTGTCGTCCACGAGTAGTAGTCTAGGCTCTGCACTGGCTAGATCTGACGGCACGGGAGGGCCCAAGTTCACCTGCTTCTCTTCTTGCGGAGTGTCCTGTTTCCTTGTCTGATCTGCTATGGGTGCGTCGGATATCGCTACTTCCCATGACTCTGCCGTGTCAGCCGTGGGTGTCACTCCCGGCTTTGGGCTGCCGTGGTCACTCTCGTGATGTTTACTTTCGATTGCCAGATTGGCTAGCAAGTGAGATACGGCCTGGTCAGATTCTTCCCCACTCTCCTGTTTTTTGCTCTTGTCTATGATCTCATGCGACTCTTCTTGGTCTTTTTCTATCCCAGCTCCGTGGTCAAGAGTACCATGTGGTTCCGGGGCGGCAATTTGGCCAGGGAATAAAGTTGCCAACGCTTCTTGGAGACTTGAAAGTGTTATAGGTCCAGTGATAGCGGCAGTGTTGTCCAACGATATCATCTCCAGGCTAGGGACACTACTAAGATCTGGACAAAGAATGATGCGTTTAACATCACCGGTATCGTCGTGGGCCTGGGCTGCATCTTGCAGATCCTCGTACAAGAGGAAAATCAGGCGCAACTGCGTACTTGTAGTCTGCCAGGGAACGACGGTGGTTTGGAACCATCTGTTCAAGCCTCGCATGAGCGATGCAGACAGCATACTCGTACACCGTCTACCTCGAACAGTGTCTCCTGTTTCCCATCGCCTTGGTGGGAAGAGACTCATCTCAAGTTGGGGTAACGCTTCGGCGGCAGATTCTGATTTATGAATTGGGAGGTTTGTTGTGTCTTGTGAGGATCCTACTATTACCCGCCCCAAGGGAAACGTGGCAGTGAAAGTTGATCCGCGTGTCTCGCTTGAATCTACTTCCAATTTGCCGCCCAGAATGTTAGTGGTACGTTTGACTATAGAAAGTCCAAGACCGGTCCCTTCCGTGGTAGGGTCCTCTTGCGAGAATGGGTCGAAGATAGAATACCGAAGAAAGTCCGAAGCGATGCCTTTGCCGCCGTCTACGAGCGAGAGCTTGATAGAAGCCTCATCAACGTCTACGGAGACGCGAACACAGCCACTCGGCTCTCCAAACTTCAAAGCATTATCCTGACAGTATCATCAGCTACGAGTGTTGCGAGAGTACAAGTCGCGTGACTCACTAATAGATTCGTAAAGACCGCCCGGAAACTAGCGACAGCCGTGAGGCGGCAGGACCAAGGGACATTAGTGTCGAAAATCACAACAGGATGATGCAATTTCCCTTTTAATCGTGATGTAGAAGGTCGTTGCCGTTTATGGGTATTCCGACCATGGCTCAAAAGTTCGGGACGTACAGTCTCCTTCAGCCGCAGTCTCCGCGACTCTCTGTGTACTATTTCTTCGCAAACGTAAACCATGTTTGGGTTGCCGGTTCTCGTAGGAGAGATCGTAGATTGATTATTTAGTAAGCTCCATTGATGTGATAGCGGTCCTGCCGATCCGTTTGAGGCTGTCTCGTCTGACATCCGCGCTTCGGAGCTAATGTTACTGAAGTGTAACACACGATCAATAGTGTCAAGTAAAGAAATGCCGCTGTAGCGTGCAGTCTCCAGCAAGTCGTGCTGGTGTTCGTTATAGGGCGTATCAGCTAGAAGTTCGAGGCTGGACAAAATGCCATGAAGAGGTGTTCGCATCTCGTGAGACACCGAACCGAGAAAGTCCGACTTGATCTTGTCCATAGCTTGTACTTCAAGGCGCCGCACCTGCGTCATGATTGTAGTGCAAAATGCTGAAATCGAAGAGAGATCTGTAGAGCCCAGATAAACTCTTGACTGATCATTGGCAAACCCCAGAACTACCCCAATGTTCCGTTCATGATAGGTGTCCCAAAGAGGCATTATAATTATCTGCTGAGCTCCTGGAAATGTTCTCGGGATCTCAGCACATATCATCGGATCAACCACAGGGGCTACGTCGTGCGCACTCGTTGCAGCAACAACATCGCCCGACTCGCCCAACAGCTGAATGATACCGCCATGTGGAAACCAATCTAACAGCTTTTCTATAAGTTCTGGAGAGGGTTCTTGGGGCTCACTTATGCCTGGACCAAGATGCTGTGCCAAAAGGCTGGAACGATTCCAATCAGGGTTGTTGTTAATAACGGCACCAGATAAGCCCACTTCTTGAATCCTGACACCATCGAATTCGAAGGTATCATAGAGTAGGCTTGAAGCTAGGCGATATAGGCGCAAAACAGAATTCGCATATAGGTTAGATACTAGAGGCTCTTGTCCGGACTGCGCGACTGACGAGACTTGTTCGCTTTTAGGGTCAGTGACCACCTCCGCAGATGAACCAATTCTCAATAATGAGGCAACACCCTGATTGAATCTGAGTACTCGTTTCCCCTCCAAGGCTTCCACGGCTTGTTCGAGGTGCTTGTTGATATGCGAGGCTGTCTCGAACAAGAATAAGCGGTCAGCGGGTGAAAGTCCGTTCTCCAGAGGCGTTTCACTGAATGTGAAGATGGTCCCGATATTTGGACCATTGTAGGGGTTCAAAGGGACTCCGGCATAATGACGGAATCTGGCGATATCGCCTCGGACAAAAGGCAGGTTTTTGGTTCTCTCTACTTTGGCCATGTCGTATTCTTCGTACAAGGCCATACGCCCAGGATAATTTCGTCGTGTGATAGTTCGTTCACACAGACCGCCATGGTGCGTTACTGACTCACAGCCATACCTTGATTGTGGTGTATGAGCTTAGATCTGTCTCATACTTGGTCCATAGAGTACTATTGCTTACCATCTAGTTGAATCTGCATTCTTATGGTTAGGAATCTACAATTTCAGATATGGCTTGCAGTTCTCTATACGCACCCAGAGTGACCTTTGCCTCGTTGACATTAGCCCGGCTTGCGCCCGAGACAAAGTATTGTGTGTGGTCGTCCAACAAGCTAACCATAGCAAGGTCGGCACCCGTCTGATGAACGACACATCGTAGTAAGGCAGCGAGTGCACCATCTGGTTGATTTCCGGAGTACCTTCCATGTGGTTCCAAAGGCTTGCTCGTCAATCCAGTGGCTGAACCGCGCACGTATCGCACGACGGACGGCAAAACCTGGCAGAAGCGTCGGACCTCCCATACACGGGCACGATCGGCAATAAAAGCTTTCTGTTGCTCTGTGAGCTCCGGCGATGACATGGTACTCAGAAAGTCTCGACTATGCCGGCCATCCGGACAGCCTGGCGGGTGAAGGTCACTTTACGCAGGTGTTGTGGCTATGCTTGAGCGCGGGGTGATTGCGAATCTCCCCGAGATTCCAGTCAAGTCACTTAACTCAGTCGTCTGGAAAGCGCGATAATGTGGAAATTGTCATCGGCGGTCGATTACTGGTTGCCTAGGTGTATGTACGCAGAGGTTGCCAAGAGTCAACCTCCGATTACGTCATCTTTCACGGCCCGAATCAAACTTCTCCATCCATGCTATCTGTGCCAAGACTAGGTAGTTATCCTTTGCATACAACGTCCAAACTACATCTTGAACGCACTTGTGGTGCGATATAGAAGAATCAGGACCCGAGAAGCGAGGTTGAGACACATAAGGACGTGCGACGTGAAGGAATGCTGGACAGGTCGCTGTCGAACCGCTTACATACCCAAGTAGGGCCTGAGAGGCGTTGACAACGAGAATGGGCAGACGGACCGGTGAGTGACCACCTCTGCAGAAGCTCTGATCTCAAGTGTCTTAGTGTGCGACGCAACAACGCCTAGGCGTGCAACTAAACCGGATGTTGCATCGTGTGTCGAATGAAGCCTTGGCTTAACGTTAGCTGGTTCTCAACCTTGGTTCTCAACTCGACGAAAGTATCTGTACCGGCTGTTGCAGGGGCCTTGGCGTCTTGAGTTCTCACATTAATGTATTACCCTCAACTTAAGCCTCGTCGAACTTGCCTTATGCGTGTAATAAGGCCTTTTTGACGATTTCAATTCTCTATTATTATTCTTGTACTGGGTGGCGTTGGTGGAAGTAATGGTGAGGGGTTTGAACGTGCGGATTGCATAGTTTACATTTAACTACGTAATTAGGCAGCTCTTCAGTGAGGTGAGCGTAAAAAAGCTCAATAGAGCTCTCGTCAAGATCGTTTGATCGATAGCTCTTCAGTGCGTAGTTTAGACTTACTTACTTTCCTCGGCACGATTGAGGAATATGATCGATGGGGACCAAGAGAATCAGATTTCAATACCACGCTGACGGCATGACCGTAAAGAGTGACCGTATAAGGCCCTACAGAGTGTATGTATAAGGCTAAGCAAAGTGTTGTACTAATTGTCTACGTATAAGTATCTCTGATATCTTTCAAAATCTCTTTAATACCCAATGATAACACTGCTCTTCGAAGACTGCCCGAAAACCAGGAGGACGCGTCAAAATACTACCCCACTCATCTACCCGCCACCCTACCAAACCTGTACAAGCCAACTATCGCCACCTATTACGATGTAAGCCTATACTTCGAAACAACATTAAATTACTTCCTATACTAAACAATTCCGTAGGCGTCTCTTATCTACTACTACTAATACTCTCCTTCTTTTCGCCCCCCTCCTAGCACTCGCCAAAGATTGTACTATCTACTACGACTGGAAAGATCCTGCACCTTAAAATGTGAATCTGGATATTCAGACCAAAGATAATTACAACCGCGACGTCTACGCTGCCAACATGTGTCTCGACATCGGCGGAACTAATTATGACTGGGGCATAGTGAACGGGAATGAGCCGCACGTGTGTGGTATCTGTCGGGGCGCAAGGGACAGCACGGACGACTATCACCGCGATGTAGCATTTGAACCACCGGTCAAGTTTACAGTGAGATGTGGAAACTTTCCGGAGAAAAAGTGCCACGGACCACGGTAGGCGTAGGTGGATGGGCAGTAAGAACGGCGCGGGCGATGTTTAATGCAATTAAACAAGCTATTAAATAAGCATATTTTGTTACCGAGGGCCTTGTAGCAGTCTGCGTGCCGCCTTTAATGCTAGCTGATTAGCTACTTGTATGCTAATCGTGAACGTTGTTTGTAGAATCATTTAGGCTGGCGGAAGCTTAATTATTTTTTGTCAATTCTATTCTTGTAGTTTAAAAGACTTTTTGGTAGAGTACAGAAAAACATAACCTTGTCAGTAGCAGCAGTATCCTTCATATGCTCGCCCAACTTCGAGTCATCGCAACTGGAGTTATCGCATTACAACAAGACCTCCGGAGTCCGGAGTAATCAAGCAACCGTGGCATCAGCATGCATGCTAAGCCACTATTACTAAGCATGTCTTCAAATGCTCGCCACCTTCTGGCTATTACTTGTGGTTGTTCGGCACATGAGCAGTCCTTGAAAGCTGATATTAGCATTTTCCGTATCAAGCTGGACCTGGCATCAGACAGAACGTCTCAACCTGCTAAGCTCGTTTGCTACATAGAGCACGCGCATAATGGAGTCAGACGGACTATGACTGTTGCCAACCAGGTCTTGCCGGTGGCCCACTCACCGGCCCTTTGCGTAATCTCCTGACAGATATATACGCCTTTCCGCTTGCACGGCCAACCGCATCTTTCCATTGGAATATCGCATCCCGAGCCATCCGTGCCTAGACTAAATCATCATTCTAAGTCTATGTTGCCACGACTAGGCAGCATTGGCATCATCCGGGAGCCAACTCTGAGCATCAGCACAGCCACAAACCTCGTCACTTACTTCGTGCGTGAATACGTATATCTTGCAGTGGCAATTCAAATCGCCTATAGCGTTTGTACCGATCAGGCGCGCAGAGTAAGGTAAGATGGAAGGTGATATGGGACTCTGATGCTCGCATGATATACCTTATTTGAGTTGTTTCTCTGTGGGTGCTGCATGAATGACCTTAGTCAGATGTGTGTCCTCGCTCTTTTAGTTCTTTGGTTTTTTGGCCTTCTCCATGAAGCGCGCTGCGACTAAAAATCTTCGCTGGTGTTGTCTAGGGATAACATTAAGGCGTGAAAAAAAAACTAGCAAAGGTTCATAGTGACTGTGGAATATCTGCACCCTGCTCTTTCTTGGATAAAATCATCGGGACTGCAGGGGAGGGGAGGGAGATGGTATCAGCTATGGAGCCTCAATGCCGACTTGCTGTGCCGCGTTGCCTTCGCCAACGGAAAAGTGTGCAACCCTTCCAACATAGGTCCACGGACGTCTGCCTGGTCTAGTAGAAGCTCCGTGTCAATAGATCTAGGCAAACGGCTGAGTCCAGTTCCTTGTCTATGGCTTCCGGTGAACACGGTCTCCCTGTACAGTTTTTGGAGAAGTAGGCCAACATGAAAAGTTTTGACGTCCTCCAAAGTCGTTCGCATAACCCTTTATTCCTGAATCCGGTCAATGAATGGTCTTTGACATGTCACTAGGATATTAATGGGTTTCAGGCAATGTCTCTCTTTTCGAACATGTGGTCCTCGTATGACATCCCGTGACGCCTCTAGTAAACCTAATTTTGTGTCAAATCTTCTGTCATTATGTGGTGACTTTTTTGCTCGTGACGTCACGCTATGAAAATATCTCATCTCCGTAGGCGAGAACCGGATTCGCCATCCCACTCGAGATTCTCAGATGACATGCTCAACGGATGAAGCGCTCCCAACAAGATTTTAGGTCCCGAAATCATTTTGGGGTTTGTTCGTAAAAGGTAGATTCGCGTGCGGTAATGCCAACTTGAAGGACTTTTGAGATGGATGGTTGCGGTTGAGTTTGGAGCTTTGGTCCCGCGTCAGCGTATTGGAGCGGGAGGCCTCATTTCCAGCCATACCATATCTTGCGCATAGGTAGTCCCGGTTAGTTCGGCCCCCATATCCCAAGCCCGTTCGTGCCTGGGGCGTAATGACGCGATCGTCCTTCATTCATTGTGGTTGCCTCTATTCCTTCCTTTTGGGGAATCGCCATCGGTGGAGGACTTCAGAGGTCAAGATCAAGATCTCCTAAGCGTGACTGCATGAACAGTTCAGATGACATGAGTATGCTTACCGATAGTGATATTCATCGCACGAAATATAACAAGGTTTTCTAGAGCTGATATTTTATTCTTCCCTCGTACAACGATCTCATGATCTGGCTCGGGTGCCAATCACGAAAAGCAAAGAAAGTGGTGTGCAGCATTTAGCGTTTGATCGTCATTATGAACCCGATAGGTCTCTCTTGGAGTGCATGATTTATGCCCTCCTATAACCATTATAAACTTCACTGCTTTTACGGAATGCTTACGGCTTTTGGATAGTGACAAAAGCAGCCTGCTGAATATGGAAGTCTACACTCCACAAGCTGATACATCAACATGACGTTCTGGATAGGTTCAAGTTGTTACACGAGCGGCATTGACCCGGTGATCAGGTCACCACCTCAATCGGTGTGCTTGCATTCGCGATAAGGCGGTGTCTCGTTCGTGCAGTAAGCAAGGCAACTGAACCATTGATTATGCCAGCTTCTGTAATCGAAAGTGCCCTGAAATTCTCATTCGTAAATTAGCGAAAGTAGAGTCATCCCCTATTTACCCATTATGGTTGATTTTGTTTTGGGGGCTAAGTTTCCGAGCGAATGGTAAGGCACCCACCCCACAAAGGCAGTTGGTTTGCCTGCCAATTTCGACCTCATAACTCTTCCCAGGGAAAGCCTTCAATTTGCTTATCTTCTCACATCAAGTAATATTTCTCGGGCTCAAAACTGAGTCCAGTCAGCCTTCTCAACTGTGCCCTGAACATTCATCATGCGGTCCTTGTGAACTTGATGACACCAGCGCATTTACATGCATGCCAACAGAGCTCCGCTGCGTGGTCATCGAATAAAGAATTTCAGCCATGCAGTCTTGTTGCACACCATGTTGATGTTGAGACGAAAAAGACGACTTATGGCATTGGCCGCGTTCCGCGCGGAAACGATTTTGGTTCGTTCGACCCCGCTCCCATAAGTAAAAAGGAAACGTATGGATATTGTTTGCCGATGGATCGGTACCCCGCGCCGCATGCATAATAAACAAGGCAGACGGTTTGCCTTACTGGGGGACTGTAAGGGGAGTCTTGCGATGTCCGTCATGAGCTCTTTGGTGTAAGCTTGACCGAAGTAGTTATGCTTGAGTGATTGAGAGATTTTCCTCAACCACAGTCCTCCTCAGCAGCATCGAGGCGATTCAGAAATCCACGATGTGACACAAGGAACTCCGTCAGACCCAGGGAAGCGGACAGTTTGAGGGCCACGACTGTCTGCTAATTGTACCACTAGCTGTCCCGCATCCGCGAAAACGATAGCCAATGAGTGGCACTCCTGAGTCCTTTCATAGTGATAGCAAGCAGCGACCGTACCGTATGTTTGATTGCGCATGCGGACAACCGCCATGACTTCCTGGCGTTTTCTAAGACAGCAGCCGCCTATCAATCAGCCTCAGCCTTTGCTATTCTTTACACGCTTCCGAACTCTACATGTTGTTGGGCGGCGGAATATCGATATCCTTGTAATGTTTGCAAGAACACGGTACACCCCATAAGGCAATTGCTGTGGAATTGTGCGCCCAAGCTGAAGGCCACCCGTCGATCGGATCGAAGTAGAGGCCTCTGTTTTGTAAGGACATGGGAAATCTACTGGTCCTCCTCTTCACAGAGTTATTGTTGTGTAACACAGCTGTAGTATGCAATATAGATGTATAGTACGGGCTGGTTGCAGGTACCACTTGGCAAGGTGTTCTATGAGCTTAGTCGCCTGTTTCACTTTGAACACTCTCTGACGAGTAGTTAGCGTGCAACACAAATTTCCGAGATGCTGCATCCGTTGGGCAGGTATCGTCGTGTCGGCTGGACACAAGCCACCCCGGCGCGTGTTCCTGCAATACGGACCGGCTCACGGAAAGTTTCGTAGGCCATAAGGCAAACACAAGACAACCTCATACCTTCCTTACCTACTCCTCTCTTCGTCGTGGCCCGAATCACCTCACCGGTCCAATGTGAAACTGTAAGGGCGCCAAACTGAAAACCTATGCAGCAAATTCCTAAGCTTTTGCGAATGGGAAGGCCCTGTACTGAGATACACATCAATAACACACTTCAGCATTCAGGTGGTCCAATTCCTCGATGCCACGCATTCCAAGCCGGCGTATTGGGGCTTGAGACCGAATGATATGCACAGACCCGCCGGTACATGACTCAAACAGTACTGCAGCCTCTGAGAAATGGTATACGCTGGGGGAAAGCAGGTGTAAGAGGACGTCGCTGAGATTGTTTGTATTCGGTCGTGTTTCGAGACGCTCCCTATTCCAAAATTAACAAATATAATGTCTTATCGCGTGCAACCTATCGTTGGCTGTAGTTGAGGGCCAGCTTCGCGTTTCGATACCTGCTATAGCTTTCAGGCAGCCGTTGCTACGCGACGTCCGGCTGGTGGGAATCGGGCGTTTGCGCAGGGCAATTTGAGACCGTCCACAGCCTAGCGAGGTTGGGAAATCAAAGAAGTGAAGTCAAGTTTTGGAAGTGGTCATGGATGATCCAAGTCAGTAGAAGGACGGTGCGTCTAATTGTAGCCAGAAGTCATTTGTGATGATGCGTGACTATGCTGTACAGTACGGTGCGCAAGCGTTCGCGCAGCACACAAGGCAAGCGTGGCTTTAACTTATGGCGTTGGCTTGACATGCATAATTACGTGCTAATACATTCCATCACAAATAAGATGGGACGGATGCGGCATTGTGGCAGTTTGGGGGCTGAAAGTGCTGTGCGGCTGAAAGTCCTTCCTGAAGGACTGCATCGGACCCCATCCGACCCCATCCATGGGTCTGCTAGCATTGAGTACGTGCTTTTAGGCGGTCGCGGAGGCCGCCTATATTGTCTTGGCGGTTGCCTCGTTGCCTGCTCGCAATAGTCCTGCCTCCCAGTGGAGGCTGAAAACAAACACCTATACATTCTACAACCGTAACGAACTCTGCAGATTGTAAAGAGAACTTGAACCTGTTCTATCGAGTTTAACGTCTAATTTACTCCCATAGTCGTTTCCCGAACCTCGGTCACCGCTCGGGTACATCACTATTCTCGCCCGTACTGCGTCCACTACCACTATTCATTCCAGCTCCACTGCATCTCAAAGAACAATATCGCGCAATAGCTTTAACGGGATATTTCCAGCTTGTAGCTCATGATTTGAACCGTCAGGCTCACATTTGAGTTGAGGGTGCTTTGCGAGATCGGGCATGTGGGGACCCAGCCGACCAATCACAACATCTTACTTTGTTCTATGAAATTCAGGCGGAAACCAAGGCACGGAATCGAAAAAGAAGGCTACACTTGAAGGTTTAGTCATGAACTCCGGAGATCTGCTTCAATCGCGCTTTGCTCAGGCTTTGAAGAATCAGCAAGGCCAAGGGCCGCACCCCTGCCCATACCCGGGTCATGGCGGACGCATGTTCCAAGATTTTCAGCAGTTCCTGGATCATGCGAGAATCGAGCACCGCTCCGACTTTGAAGGTCTGGACACACGCCAATCACGTGCTAAACTTCGAGAATTGTCGATAAGGTTCAGGTGAGAGAAGGCCCACCTCAGCATGCATGCGTATGCTAGTCCAGTTTTTAACGACGTTAGGAGATCTGATCACTCGTCCGTAGCAACGGCAGGAGATCGATCAGCGCCTGACATAGGAGGTCTCACTCTGGAGTCGGAAAAGGAGCCCCGTCGAACTTCGCCGACATCTGGACGGAAACGCTCTGCTCCCACAGAGCACGAGTTCACTGGCCGCAAGGGCAAGGCTCCCACTCACGTGGAAGTGGTTGATTCCGATTACTCGAGGCATATCCCACACACCATTGTCCCAGATCGGTTAAAGACACCAAAGTCACAAGATCCTCGTCTATTTGATCATAAGCTTAGTCCGAGAGGTACCTCATCGCCGCACCCAACAACGCCCGAGCCCTCCAGTGCATGGTCAACCGATGTCACTAAGAGCAGTAAATTGCCGTCTCCGCAACCTCAGTCTTCCGAGCGTCAACAGCAGCAGACAACTTCCAAGCCTCAACAGTCCCAACGCCAACCCGGTGTCCTTCATCTTCCACGTACTGATCCTCGGTATCCCAATTTGATTCTACAGCCCGACAGCAGACCTATCTCACAAGAAGAGCTTGCGTCTGAAGTGAAGTCGATTTATGCTGGCCTAATAATGGTAGAGAACAAATGTATGCATGTCGACCGCGCTCAAGCTGCCGCCGCTGCCCAGGAAGGTGAAGCTAAGACCAATCTCGCTTCTGACCATTGGCAAGCTTTGATTGCACTCCACCGTACTTTGCTACATGAGCATCACGATTTCTTTTTGGCTAGTCAGCATCCCTCCTCGTCGCCGGCGCTACGTCGTCTTGCAGGTAAGTACTCAATGCCAGCGCGTATGTGGAAGCATGGCATACACTCTTTCTTGGAGTTACTTCGAAGACGGCTGCCTGAGAGCATCGATCATATGTTGGCTTTTATCTACCTGGCATACCAGATGGTAGCACTTCTCTACGAGACGGTCCCTGCTTTCGAGGATACGTGGATCGAATGCCTTGGGGATCTTGGACGTTATCGCATGGCTATTGAGGATGAGGATGTCCGCGATCGTGAGACGTGGGCGGGAGTGGCACGCTCCTGGTACATCAAGGCTGCCGACAAAAACCCCACGGTGGGGCGATTGTACCATCATTTGGCTATTCTGGCACGACCACATCCACTGTTGCAGATGTACTACTACTCCCGGTCTTTGGCTTCCGTTAAGCCGTTTGAGAACGCCCGTGACTCGATCAAGACACTACTGGATCCACTCGTTGAAAAGGCGAATCACACTTCCCGGGAACATCTTTCTAACGACGACTTCTTTATCTTGGCACATGCCTCGCAGTTTGACCACACTTCTATCGAGAAAGATGCGTTTAGTATGGACAAGTCCACAGCCAAGTTTCTAACACCCAAGGTAGCCTTTTTGGAGAAGTTGGATATACACATCGGTCGCGTCACTGCAAAGTGGAAGGACCTAGGTGTCTACGTGGCCGTTGCCAACATCGCGGGATGGTTTGATTATGGAAAGGACAAAAACCTCATTCGACACGCCTTTCTCCAGCAGCTTTACCCACCAATTGAGTTCTCTAATACTGAGAATCCTGTAAATGTGGAAGCCAAACAGGAACCTATCACTCGATCGGACCAACAGAGTGCCTCAAAGAAAAGGAAAGAGTATGAAGAAGAGAAAATCCCAGAAACGTCCAAGGCGTGGTTAGAAGCGAGATCCCGCATTGAAAAAGATTGTCATCTCAAAAACGCCAGACTCTTCACCAACGAGACGTCCGCCATGGTTTTCCGCCGACTTGGCGACAAGAACGTCTTTCCTCACGTGCATGTCATGCTCGCATTTTTTTCCAACCTTGCTTCCAGCACATACGTTTCCTTTCTTGTTGCCGACGCTCCCTGGACCGAACTCGTTGCTTTCCTGAATACGTTGATCAAGAATGAGACTAGACATAGTCAGTCAGCAAACAAAAAACTAAACATTGATACGTTATTGGCCACCGACGTATTCCCCCGCGAGGGCGAAAGGGACGACGAGTTGCCGTTGCCAGAGGACTACCACATCCGAGGTCAGATCTGGGCACAACATTTTCCCGATAAGTGGTTCGAGAGGGAGCGTGATGAGGAAGAGCGGTATCTGGAGTTGGCGAGTACGGCAAAGAATCGAGTGGAGAGGATTCTCAGACTCGCTTTTTCTATTGCAAAGGTCGGTTTCTCTGTTGTTTTTACTCTTGTTTATTTCTAACAGTGTGTTACAGCACCATCGTTGGATCACATTTGCCAGTGACTCGCATACTTTCGCAGTCCGCTCTCCATGACACCAGTGGTCCTGCGTCACTAAGTTTGATTTCTCTTCATTTTCACGATACACGACATCTGCTTCGCCATTCAACGTGGCCTCGCCTCCTCTTCTAGGCTTTATTGGTCAGGTTACTACAACCTCAGAGTCGGAACTCTTGAGAAATGTATATGTCTTCTGGTTGTATCTTCATGTCCGCGGCTTTGGATAGAGAAGAACCCAAGTTGAGACATCAGCGATCTCTGGTCATCGAAATAGTTGTGTCGCGGACAAATTGGCAAATCACAAGCACAGACTATTGTCATGGGTCAAGAAACAAGGGGGTTGTCTGTCGTATGCAGTTATCATACGTTTTTCATCTAATCCTCACATGGTTGTGCAGGAAAAATATCTCCAAAAACATTTTCCTTTGGGCGGCATATCATCACTATCGTTGTTCAATTTGATATCAGGCACCAGTTATATACGTAGGAATTAATCAAGAAAAGCTCAGAAATTTGTTCATGTGCGAGAATGCAAAAATAGACACTTTTTATACAGGTACAGGATAGAAAGTTGCCCTCACCTTCCACATGCCCAAATATTTTCACAAAGTTCCATCCTCTTCCCCCAAACTTGCCAATTTACAGATCCTCAGGGTAATTTCTCTCTGAACTTTTGCTCAGGCATGAGAAACAACCTCACTAACACATCCCCAGTGAGGAAAACGTCCCACATCTCCGGCTGAGCTCCCCAGCTAAGATCCAGCCCGTCCTCTGCGTCCAGCTTCGCAGGCTGGAAGTGGAATACCTCATGCGACACCGGACTGTCACTTCTCCTGGTCGAATACTTACCGGTTCTGAGCTTCTTAACAAACAGGCGTGCGCCCTGGAGTTGTGTACATAGCGATGAGATGCAAAAGGATATCTCGCCGTTGGAATCAAAAGAATCCATTCACTGAGAACACGAGACGCAGGAGTGATACTTGTCTTTCGGATCGTGAGGCATTACAAATTCGGGTTGGTCCACCCACATGGGTATTTTGAAGACAGGCACCCGGTCTTTTCTACCGTGTTTTGAATCTGGGATGTGTTGGACATCTAGCGTGTATAGTCGAGTGGTTCATGTTTGAAATGCGAAGATCTTGAAGTGGTGGAATCCCTCCGTGTCCAAACCGCTGCCATTTGTAGAGTTTTTATTTCCGGAAAGATGTAGGAATGGTTTCGTAAAAAAGATGTTTTGCTTAAAATGACTATTGGACGTCACACAAGACACATACCTATTATATACCCAAAGGCATCTAGGCCCTCGTCCAAGCCTAACTGACATCTCCATTTAAGCTGCGCCCCAGCACCTCAGGCATGCATAAACCAGCACCCGAAGTTTCGGTATTCTCCAAAACCCAAGAAATACCGCGTATCATTGGCCACCCAGTGAATAAGCGCTGGCAAGATGTCTCATCCGCTTGCATCACCGCGCACATAGGCGCGTGAGGAAATAGTATGTGCTGTAATCTTTTGAGGCATCACGGGCAATCCCGCTGTCCATTTTAAGATACAGTGTGGAATTTGCCGTCAGTGTCGAATCCCAGAAGAGAAGGGCTCGTTAAAGTTTCGTTGCATTGCATTACCACGTACCGTAGGCGCGCGAGAACATGCTACGCGCCGTACTTCTTGGGGGTATTGCAGGGAATCCCACTGTTGATCTTGGACGTAATATCGGACGTACGTCCGGAAGGAAGGAGGGTTTAGAGTTCCGTCCCGCTGCATTGCCGTGCATCATAAGCGCGCGACTGCATGTTACGCGCCGTGGTCTTTTCTGGTGTCTTTTGAACCCCGTCGTTCGTTCCAGGACAAGACTCTTCGTAGACGCTGGTTTTGCCTAAAAGAAGAGAGCGAAGTAAAGTGAAGAAAATCCAGGGTCCAAACAAGAGCGACAAATGCTGCAGGCAGGTACTTGTCTTGGCACACACGTGACCTCCCACAACGCATTCTCTATTGATCACACTGGTCATAAACTCAAGTTGCATATTTGATAAGACTCATTCCACATAAAGGCCATGCTCCCTAGCTATACACGCATGTAGAAGCCTCTAAATCCTAGAATTACAAGCACGCCCCCTAGATCCTCGCCCAAGTTGTCGTTCATTCCTTAACTACCCCTCTATGCCGTCCTGGCAACGGGCTTCTTCTCACCACCCATGTCGTGCTCGGTGTAGTAGAAGTTCTCCTCTGGGATACGTCCCCTCAGGAACTCTGGCTCAGAGCCACGAACGTAGATGTCCTCGTACAGGACTTTGCCGGTTGGCTCAGGGGCGGCCATCTTCTCGGCCTCGGCGACCTCTGCATCGACTTCAGAGCGGGCCTGCTTGTCGATGGACTTGAGCTCCTCCTCGGAGGTGACGCCCCAGTCAAGGAGCTTCTGCTTGAGGCCGGCAATAGGGTCGTTGGTGCTGCGCATGCGTTGGATTTCCTCACGGGTCTACGTTCGTCATTAGTATTTGTGCGAAATCCAAGGTTCAGCCCAACTTACTCGGTATGTGGTTCCGGGGTCGGACATGGAGTGTCCTCCATATCGGTAGGTGACGTATTCGTAGACGAGAGGACCCTTGTCGGCAGCGCAGTACTCCTTTCCGTACTTGACAGCGGCCTTGACAGCGAGGACATCCATACCGTTGATCTTCAGACCAGGGATGTATTGACCACGCTTGTAGTAGTCGGTGAGGGCAGATGAACGGTTAGCAGCAGTTCCCATACCGTACTTGTTGTCTGCGGGGTGTTAGCCAACGTCGACTTTGAGTCCATGTTCCGTGTACGTACTCTCGCAACCGAAGATGACGGGCAAGTTCCAGAGCTTTGCCATGTTAAAAGCCTCAAAGACCTGACCCTGGTTGGAGGCACCGTCTCCGTAAAGAGCGAGGGTGACGTTCTTCTTGTTCTCGTACTGGCAGGCGAAAGCGATACCGGCACCAACTGGGACCTGGGCACCGACGATACCGTTTCCACCGTAGAAGCCGGGGGCGAACATGTGCATAGATCCACCCTTTCCGTATGCGATACCCTCTCTCCGGCCGAGCAATTCACCGATGATGGACTTGACGGTTGCGCCGCGCATCAGAGCGAAGCCGTGGCAGCGGTAGGCGGTGATGAGATGGTCGGCACGTTCGATGGCGTGTTCGATACCGACGGCGACGGCTTCTTGGCCAGTAGACAAATGGCAGAAACCCCGGATCTTCTTCTCCTTGTAGAGCCTGTCGGCGGCCATTTCCATGCGTCTGTTGGCCAGATTAGAATCGGACTATTTCTATACGATTAAATTCCAGCATTGCGTACCGTACAGCGACCATGTCGTAGTACATCTTCTTCAGCTCCTTCTTGGTCACTTGCATAGTGTACGGCGGCGGGTCGAGCTCATATGTCTCAAACGACTCATCAGAGAGGCGGATCTCGAAGGGCTTGTCGTCCTCCTACGGACAGTCAGTCATCCATTGCATGCCTCAAGGCCCTCTATGGCCTCGTCCGGTGAATTTCTTACCGCTGGCACATTCGCCGGGTCGGTATGCGATGAAGCGGCGTCAGTGGTGACAGACCTGAAGGCGGGTCGCGCAGCGGGGGCAATGACATTGCGCCTGAAGGGCGACGCAATGCTCCGCCTAATTGTCCTGGACAGCATTGTGGTGAGAGAGGCGGGTGTGGGGGGTCTGGTCGGCGTCGACTGCGGTGGTGGTGTTGATTCGAAAAGTTGCTCAGCTCCGCCAGCTCGGGGATCCGCTTTCACGCTAAGCGATTAGGGTCCGACGACGCCAAATCCCAACAGAACCCGATCCTCTCCGACTCAATACCGTCTTCGGGACAATGTGTCTCAACACACCGATGTCGTCAATTCAGCTGAAAAGGATATGGGAGAGACTGCGTTACAGTTCCATAAAATTGCGAAGCATGTCTAATGGTCTTTGATGGTCCGACAACACAATGCGGGGCATGTCAAATATGAACATATTATCATCGGACAATATGGAAGGTAATGATTGTACTTTGTAAAACATAGGAAAGATAACCTGTCTCTATCGAGTGAACTTAGAGATGATACACCTTAGCGAATACTCATAATCCACCGAGAAATGGTCGATTGGCCCCCAAACCCCGTCATCGAAAATACGAGTGATACATTGGCCATCAGAAATCCTCCAAAGATCCCACTGCTCACACAAGAACCCTTAATTAAAGGTCTGATAGCTTACATACCAAACATCGCACATGCTTCTTGGCTAGAAATATGCCTATATTTGCCTCGTTTCGACGGTATATAGTGCTCACAGTCCCTGCTTTCTATCTTTCTATCTTCGTCTTCGTCTTAGTCTTAGTTCTCATCTTCATCTTCGTCCTCATCCTCGTCTTCACTCTCACTTTCACTTTCTTCCAAGTCTGGGTCTAGCTCTGCTTTGCGCTTCCGCATAGCGAGACGATTCGCAATAGCTGCAATATCCTCCCACATATATAGGTATTGATTCCCTTTGTTGTCTTCAAATTGCGGGTTAAGTGGGGATTGGAGATTGTTGGTCGGAACGTCAGTGTTGATCTCATCAAACGGGGACGTTACTTCGCCCTCCTGCATACCACGCTCTTGTTCTTTGGCCCACTGTAACGCATACACACCAGCCATCCTTTTCACAAGGCCTTCAGGCTCTAACATGGTGTACCTCATACTGGTAATCTCGTCGAACCTGTCCCCAAGCACCTTTTCCAAGACTCCTTGGCGGAAACATCCGAAATGAACATTTGACATATACCTTCGGTGTTTGTACGCCTTTTTCGTATTTTCGCAGCTGTTGCGTTTTGTGAGTGCAAGAATTTTGTACCCTTTAGCCGACCTGGATTTAACGTCCAGGTCGTCACAGATTTCCTCAAGCTTCGGACATATGTGGTTACAAAATTCGTGGGATGAAAACTGGAGCACTGTGCGGATCCGCTCTGGGTGCTGGAGGAAAGCGTTGATTACTTTGCAGTGCTTGCATGGAGAAGCACTAGGGCCGGAATAACAGGCAACGGGTGCTCGCGAAGTCTCTGAGGCTTCGGGTTCATATCTGACGTATTTGACCAGGTAGGAATATATGGCGTGTTCGAGTAGTTTTCTGTAGACTGGGCTGTCTGAAATGGTACTCGTGGCCCAGGCTGTCGAGATGTTGTGTAGGAAGGGCATTGTCGCCGCATTGTAATTCGTGTAATCACGGGTATCGAGCCTCTCAATAACAGTTCTCAGGAACCCATAGGTTTCTCCAGCAAGCCCATATGCGTAGCAGTTGAGAATGAATGCGGATATGTTGTCCAAGTCAAGCCTACCTGCAGCCCTGGCTCTAGCTTTTCTGCTCAGTAAATCGCACTCTTCCGCCATGAAGGGCAAAAGCTGGCGAACTGTTACCTTCTTCGTCAAGGTTTGGACTAGTGGATCCGCGAACAGCTCGTTCAGGAACTTGGTAATGAGCTGTGTCTTGGCCGTTGCTTGGAGTAATACTGGTACGATTCTAGTAGACCTTAGTGCTAAGTACCATTCAAATCTGATTGAAGTGTAGACCTACTGGTCGAGAAAATACTAGTCTCCTCCAACATCATTGATGAAGGACATAAGCGATGCGTAAGGAGAAACATAACGTTTGGGCAGAATATACTTGGAAGTCAAGAGCTGCTCCATTTTGGCGACATAAAAGCGGTCAAGCTCTATGCGTAGATCTTTGCTAGGGGTGTTGGTATCTGGAAGAGTTTCGCCGCCCGTCTCATTTAGAACAGAAACACCAGAAGCTAGTCCTGGGAGGTTGCGAGGCAAAGAGTGGGGGATCTTAGCATCAGAAGCATCAATGCCATCTACGATTACAGGCTCAGATGTCCACCTTCGGAACAGCTTTCGAAGACCTTTATAACGCTCTTCAATACCTTTCAGTGATTCTACTGCAATTTCCAATCTGAGAACGATCAGTCACATCTGCAATGCTCATAGAGGGCGGTACATACCCTTCTACGATCTTTGAAAATGAAATATCTGGAACCAGATATAGCAGTCTTGAGTATGCATCAATGGTAGCGCCTTTAAGTCCTCGGATACCTCTGTGAAACATCTCAATCTTGTTCAATTCTGCACATTGAACAATGACTGGAATCAGCATAGTCTCCAGGCTGTATTCCTTTGATCGGCCATCTCCTGTGTCTAGACCCTCTCTGTGCTCAAATACTTTGGTGCAAATTTGGTCGAACATAATCATCCCATACTCTTTACAACCAGCCTCTCGTTCTGATTTTGTGCGATAGTAATTGAGCACAGACTGGGTGCTCGTGAGCAGAAGGCACTGAAGAAAGGCATGCAGGTCTGGTACTAATAGCAGTACTGTGAAGAACATTTCCTCGTGAGCGCGTCTGCAATGCCACCCGTAACAACCAAGTCAGATCGTGCCAAGGAGTGGTAGGGGGTAGGGATAAGGATTTCGGAAAGCGGTTGGTAATGGGTGTCCTGGACAGGTCCGAGGAAGCATTCCATCCTTCTGTCCCTTTTAATGGTCGAAAAGAATATTGAGAAGCCCAGGCTGCTGCATATATCCTCAACTCCAGATATGAGTAATTTGTCATACGACGTGCCTCCCTGGGTGTCCAGAGTGTATGCCAAGAAAGGCAAGTCCAGTATCCGATCGATAGTGGAAGTATCTTGCCAGTCCCTCAGAACCGACTGGAATTCTTCAGATAGTTCGGATGCTACCTTCCACTCATCATCATTGTCGGAAACAAGGGCGCTGCGGTGAATTGCCGATAGGACTCGCTCGAACTTTGCCGATAGGTTTTTACGACGACGGTATGCAATATATGGATCGACACGCAACACAGGACGTCGTCGCTTGTTCCTCATGGCTTCCGCAGATTCACTCGTTTTGTTTCCGAGTGGAACGATGGTCCCTCCCAACTCAGAGTAATGGAAGAAAGGACGTAGGCAATAACCTGGCGATTCCTGGCTTAAGTGATACAACGACCTTTCTGCCTCCAAACGAAAGAATGATTTGACAATAAAGATAGCCCTTGAAGCTTCACGCGTGGAAGGTAGGGGGCTCTGGAGTAACGCGTATTTCAAGATGCGCTAGAGATGCGCTTACGCAAACCCCTGCGAGTTGAGATGAAAGCCAAGCAGCATGATTATTTAGCTCTTTTTGTAAATGTCTGATACTTTTACAAGCGGTAAATCTACCGCTATATATCTACAAGGAAGCCCTATTCGTCTCAAATTTTACACATCCTACGCCTTGGGAGGGTCAATGTGCTGTGTCTGCCCAGCAAAAAACTGCTTCTGTGCCAGACATCTCTCGCTCGTGCACTTTGGACACCTGAGGGTCATTTGTGGGCTGCATGCCTGACCGCTTTGCAAATGCGCCTTTGCGATGTCTGCAAGCGCTTCGATGAAGACGGGACTGTCGTTGAGACTGTCAACCCGCTTTACGCCCTCGTGGCCCTCGGCGTCTTCGCCAATGACTTCCTTGTCTAACTCATACAGCGTCTCAATGTGGTCGCTAGTGAATGCTATCGGCACCAGCAGCATATCCGTTTGGCCCTTCTTCATATACTCCTTGACGGTGTCTGAAGTTTGCGCACCGAGCCAGGGCTGGGGTCCAACTTGTGATTGCCACACAAGGCGGTACTTGTACTTCATGCCAAGGCGTTGCATGACAGCGTATACGGTAGCGGCGACTTCGGATGGATAGGGGTCACCACGGTTCACAACGGTCATAGGCAGACTGTGTGCGGAGAAGAGGATGACAACCCCGTCTCTTCGCTCGTCTGGGTATTCTGCGAGCTTCTTCTCGATTAATTGTGCAAAAGCTTCCACCAAGCCTGGATGTGCGGGCCAGCGATCGATGACACTCCACTTGATAGCACCCTCTGGTTCAACTTCTTGGCCAGTCTCTCCGTTTGCGCGCTTGCCTTCCAGTCTTGTCCGCCACTTCCAGAGTTCGTTGAGGGAAGATCCAGTCGTAGAGCACGAGTATTGTGGGTACTGTGTGAAGGCTACAGCGCGGCCACCCTTCCCAGCTCCAAATCCATCTGCTATCAATTGTTTGTATGTGTCCTCTGTAAGCGGATTGGCGTATCGGAATGCGACGTATGGCTTATGGGGCGCGGTCTCCGGTGAAGTCTTGTCGAGGATCTTGCACATCTCAGCGGCCTGATATTCCGACCACTTCCTGATAGGCGAGCCACCACCAATCTCTGCATACTGCTTTTGGATCTTGGGTGTTCGTCTCCGTGCAATATATGGTCCAATGTAATTTTGTAGCGGTCCAAGAGGAATCAAATCTTTGTCGGCCTACCTCGGTAAGCTCAGAATGTATGTAATGGGTTTGGAGGATACATACAAACAACATGCTCAGGAAACCATGAACTTCATCAGTTGTGGAAGGTCCACCCATATTCATGAAAACCATGGCAGTGGGCCCCTTGGAGCCCGGCGTGACTTGCGTTGGGGCGACTGTCGCGTTACCTCTCCTCCATTGCGTACTGTATGATGAGAAGACGGATGTGGCGGGTGTAATTGCACTTGCACGCTTTGCAGCACGCGAACAAGATATACGAAGAGCCATTGTGAGGTTTGCGACGGAGAAAAAAGTATTTCCTCCCGAAGTGTGATATGGTGTTATGTGAGGCAAAGGCCAGAACAGCAACGTGAATAATGTTCCGAGTGAAAGCTTCGACCAATGGCGGCCGTCTCGTTGGCAGTGATGACGATCGAGGCTGGAAATCGGGCGCTAGGAGATGCCCCACCGTCCGATACATATCACGTGATGTCGTGATGGCGCTAGTGGGATCGCGTCCCCGCTGTTGCCTTGCGTCTCGCCTTGTCACGCGCTGCAGTGAATAGTCGTTTGCCAGCGTCGGCTGCCTCCTTCCCTCACTCTCAGAGATACACGACACACATATCCTCCAATTGGTACTTTCACGTCCCCATAGCAATCGCATATCCGGTTAGGAAACGCGACAAGCATATCATGGCAGACCCGCAGGACAATCGTGCAGGCGAGGAGGAAGAGGAGGAGGAGGATGTAGAAGAGCCGGCATGTCCTAAACCGATGCCTTGTATGCATTGTTGCTAACACCATGAAGAACTACAAAACCATCAAAGATGCAGTCCTCTTCGCTATCGACGTCAGCCCTTCGATGCTCCAGAAACCGCCAAAATCAGATGACAAGAAGGCCGAACGCGATTCGCCAACTTCTGCTGCCCTCAAATGCGCCTATCAGCTGATGCAACAGCGTATCATCTCAAATCCGAACGATATGATGGGCATATTGCTGTTTGGCACAGAGAAGACGGATGTGGGTGACGGTGACAACGCATTTGAGCACTGTTACCTGCTTGCGGATCTAGATGTACCATCAGCACAAGACGTCAAACGATTGCGAGATATGGTAGACAATGAAGAGGAAGCAGAGGAGATACTGAAGCCGGCAAAGGGTGGGGCTTCAATATCTAATGTGCTCTTCTGCGCAAATCAAATTTTCACCACCAAAGCTCCCAATTTCTCCTCGAGACGACTGTTCTTGGTTACGGACAATGACTACCCGGTCAAGATCAAGGCGGACAAAGACACAGCAGTCACCCGAGCGCGAGACCTTTACGATTTGGGTTGCACGATCGACTTGTTCCCTATATCGCAGCCAGACCATAGCTTTGATCGATCTCGCTTTTACGATGACCTCGTCTATCCAACCTCGCCCTCCGACCCTGATGCGCCAGTCGCAATATCTTCTACAAGCAAAGTTGCAAAAAGCGGCGAGGGCATTTCCCTTCTCAAGCAGCTTATTTCTTCTATCAACTCGAAAGCCACGCCCCGTCGCGCTCTTTTCTCACTACCACTAGAGCTTGGCCCAGACTTTCGAATTAGCGTAAAAGGGTACATTCTCATTAAGCGCCAGGAACACATTAAGTCATGTTACGTCTGGGTTGGTGGGGAGAAACCGCAGATTGCTACTTCCTCGACAACACAAATCTCCGATGACATATCAAGGAACATCGAGAAGACCGAGTTACGAAAGGCGTACAAGTTTGGCGGCGATGCGATAACCTTCACACCAGAGGAGATTACTCAAATACGGCAATGCTTTGGAGAGCCCATCATCCGAATCATTGGCTTCAAGCCTCTGTCTAGCGTGCCAATTTGGGCAAACACCAACAAGTCTACCTTCATCTACCCTTCGGAAGCGGACTACATCGGCTCAACACGCGTCTTCTCTGCCCTACAGCAGAAGTTGATTAAGTCTAAGAAAATGGGCTTGGTCTGGTTCATCCCACGGCGGAACGCAGCACCAACACTCGCAGCCCTGATACCCGGTGTAGAAAAAATCAACGAAGACGGCGAACAAACAATGCCACCAGGACTCTGGCTCGTCCCCCTCCCCTTCGCAGATGATATCCGCCAGTTTCCTACACCCCCCGAGCAGCCCCTCAAAACCACCGACGCCCTAACTGACAAAATGCGCCTCATCATCGAGCAACTCCAACTTCCAAAAGGCATCTACGATCCATCAAGATATCCCAACCCAGACCTACAATGGTTCTACCGCATCCTGCAAGCCCTCGCACTCGAAGAAGAACTCCCTGACCACCCAGACGACAAGACAATACCGCGCTACAAGCAAATCGACAAGCGCTGTGGCGAGTACATTGAAGAATACGGCAAAGAGTTCCAGGAAGCATACGCGCAGCAACATTCAGAAGCTCTCGCCCACCGCGGTAAACCAGTGGCGAAGAAACGGCCCGCAGGCGGTGCGGATGCAGATGGGAAGCCAGCGGCTAAGAAGGTCAAGAAAGACCCCAAGGTCAAGGCGGAAGATGGGGATGATGAGGATGGGATGACGGACGAGCAAATGGCTGAGCTGAATAACAGCGGGCAGATTAGCAAGCAGACTGTTGCTGTGCTTAAGCAGTGGCTTGTTTCTAGGAATCAGAGTACTGCGGGAAAGAAGGCGGATCTGCTGGAGAGGGTGCAGGATTATCTTGACAGAAAGGGTCTTTGAGGGTGAATGTTATGTGCAACCGTGTTGTTCTCGACTTAAGCGGGGACGTATGAGGTGTTTGGGATATTTAGTTTACTGTATCAAGAAGTAATAGCGAGTGAATCTCAATGTCATGGATACATTTTCTGGTGCTCTCAGTTCTAGAAAGTTCCATCTTGCGGAAGATACGGAGCGCAGGTTCATGAGATATCATTCATATGCATATATGTATCATCTATATGGGTATCAAAGCCGCTAGATGCAAGACATGGCCTAAGTCATCTAGGTCCATCCTCCTGAGGGTTTCAGGATATCAATCAACCCTCTCCACCACTAGCATTTTCATCCTCGGAGTCTTCCTCAAACTTCTGCTCCGTAGGCTTGCCCTCGCGCTTCCTCTTCGTCGCCGCAATGCCGCCAGACGTAAGGTACAGAAACTGATCGTCTTTGTAGTTATCAAGATGCGTGAAGAAGGTGTTGAACCTACACATTGTTAGCAACCTGCCCCAGCATCTAGTCAACGGACATTATGAAACTTACTGGTTTCCCTGCGCCTCCTCCCTGAAGATGCGCTGGTAAATCTCTCTCTCTTTGAACTCTTCGATCTTGTCATTAAACTTGTTAAAGTTGATGGGATCGCGATCATGCTGTTTGGCCAGTTTGGCGTTGTACGAATCAAACACGGGTCGTTCTAGCAACAAGCCCAGACCAGGCGCTTTGGGGATGCGAACAACGTTGTTGCCGAAGCTCTCCTCCATTATCTCGGGGTTGGTGCCACACCGTACTGTCAAGGCGGCCATACCCACCATTTTGCGGATCTGGTGCATCATAAAACTTTGACCGTGGACCTTGAGACTCAGCCACTCGGTGTCGTTGATGATGATGGGCTTGGGGGCGACTTGGAAGCTCTTGATGTAGCGCTGGGCCGACTTGTCGTTGTATTTCTTGTGCACGGTGTAGTTGTGGTAACGGTGGGTTCCGAGGTAGTTGTTGAGGGCGGCCTGGACGCGGGCTTGTCGCTCGGGGGAGATGCGGTAGGCTTTTTTGATGTCGATGTAAGTTTTCTTGAGGGTCTTGATGGCTTCTTCGAGGGGGGATTGGTTGACGACGCCGGGGGGCAGGGGACGCGTGCCGTCGGTGGTGGAGTCGAGGGTTATGCTGGGATCGTTTTGCTCGACTGCGGAGATGACTTCTTTGGCTTCATCGGAGGGCTGAGATTTAGGCTCTACTTCGCTGGCATCCAGCTTTGCGGTTTCCTCGGCAGCCTCGGTCATGTTGGTGTCCTTTCCGTCGGCAGCCTTCTCTTTCTCGGCCTCTTGCTTCTCAATGGAAGCGTCAACTATACGGTCTTCTCCAGCTGGCGCATCGATGTACTCCATATTGTAGAGTGCCTCTTGTACTAATGGTCGTATTGAGTCGTCTAATGAGTCCAAGATGGGCTTGATATGCTTCTCCTCAACTTCGGGCCAGAAGTTGGCCACTTCAGCCTGTCTCGCGCGGTATCCCTCGAGGTCGTTTTCCTTCTCTGCAAACTCTTCCAGCTTCTTCCCCAGAAAACTTGACGGGTGTGGGGGAAGGAACGAATGCGTCGGAATCAGGTATTCGTACCATCGCGAGTCGCACGCCTGGTAGCAGCTGAAGGAGCCGACGGTCCTCTGAATGCCCCAAACCCTGATTTGATCGGTGAGATGGCTGTTGATCTTGTCTACAATGTCCTCGTCCTCGATGATCAACTTCAGTGACACTACGTTTCCAGCAGCATGTACGCCCTTGTCGGTACGCGCGCAACGGACGAGGGAGACCTTTTTGGGGTCGACTGCGTTTGCCTTTGAAATGGCACCGGCCGCGACGAATGCGTTGAATAGATCGCCCTCGATGGTCTTCTGCTTGTTGTCGATTTGCATGCCCTTGTAGCCGGTGCCCGAGTAGCCGATCATGACTGCGACTTTGCGCTTGGGTCTGCGCTCTTCTGCCTCGATCTCTTCGGCGGGAAACGCTGCGGGGAGCGCTGGTCTTTCGTTCTCGCCCTTTTCTTCCATGGCCTTAATCTTGGCTTGCTGCTCCTTGTTGCGGTCTCGTCGATCTAGTTGAGCGGTGCTTGCTTAGTTAGATACGTGCATTGGTAGGACAGACGGTTGCTCACTTATGTTCCTTACGTCCCATATTCCTCTTCTTATTCGGATGGCTTCCACCTTGCTGGCGTCCACCGCCTCCTCTTGCAGCATTTCTGCGATCCTTATCTGCCCATTTGCGCTTCTTGTCGTTGCCGCGATTCGACGAGCCGTGATCGCGGCGAGGGCCTTCGTTGTCAGACATGGTCGCACAAGACTCTTGGACAGCTTGCTCCAACAATTGAAGCCGCTGATCATGAGGTGGTGGTGTGGTGGCGTAGTGAATGAAGCTGCAGGTGAGAGAGCATGTGGGGTCGCTATGTCCATTTTCATTTTCTCGGTCCCGGGGGGAGCTCTGCCAGAGGCTTGGCGCGGCAGGTACCCATGCTTGCTTACCTCATCTGGACCCTGGACTTTGTACCATTATTGTCTTGCGCCTGGCATGCTTGAGAGGTCTTCTCTCTATCATCCACCCGCCGTACTGTATACATTAATAAGTACGCGGGCAGACCTCACCCGGAGAAGGCCTTGTCTGCATTGTAACTAGTCATCGCCTGCGCCTATCCACAGTCCAGGGCCGCCGCAATACTCCCGGCTGCTTCGTTTGCGCCTGATCTGGCGCATTCGAACAAAGACGCGCGCGGGTCTCAGCCCTCCAAGAGCGCTTCCAAGCGCGCTCCCAAGAGCCTCTCTACACGATGAAGGACCCCGTAGAGAAGAGCGAGAAAGATCCCGTGCAGATAGTGAAGCAGTTGCTCCGGACGGTTGTCCGCATGTTCTACGAGACAGAGCACATTGTAATTATGGACGCCCTATGCTACCATGGTGCTCTCTCTATATCTGATATGACCATCATCCTGGACGCTGGAAAAAACTCCAAACATGTTAGCAAGGTCGTCGGTAAGCTCAAAGAAGCAGGTTTGTGTAGATCGTACGTCTCCGGCATCATTATTGGCGGCACATACTGACCAATTCAGCTGGACGCAGCAAATCCTACGTCAAGGCGCAAACAAGCAATCGAGTCGAGACTTCTTCTACATTGACTGGCGCCGGGGTGTTGATGCGGTCAAGTACAAAATCTACAAGATCGACGAGAGCATCAAGAGGGACGCGAAACCGACGACGGAGAAAGCAGAGTTCAAATGCCTGCGCTGCAAATCTACCTACACAACCATGCAAGCGCTCAACATGCCCGATCACAACGCCGGCCCAGACGACAGCGGATTTCTTTGCGCCCGTTGCGAGTTCCGACTCGAAGAAATCGACCCCGATGCCCAGGCAGATGACATTGACGATACCCCGGCCAAATTCAACAAGTTGTTCGGCCCACTCATCGAGACCATGGCACAACTAGAGCAAATGGGCAAGCTCCCAGCCGTCGAGCCTTCGGACGCCGTCAGCGAGAGGATTGAGCTTCCGCGCGACAGGACTGTCGACCCTGGTACGCAGGTTGAGGTCGTTGAGCCGTCGGCTGGACGTCCGACGGCTGTCAAAGGCATCGACACAGGCCCCGAAAAGATCAGCGTGCAAATTGGATCAAGCGCGGAACAGAATGAGAAGCAACGAGCGGCAGACAAGGCTCGCCAGGAGAAGATTGCCATGCAGAATCAACTTCCGAGTTGGCACACAAAGTCAACTGTCGTTAAAGATGAAACAACTACGGTCAAGCAAGAGGATAATAACGGTGATACTCCCAATATCAAATCCGAGACAGGCGAAACGATAGGCGGTAATCAGAACCTCGATGCAGTCTTCGCGCAAATCGAGGCGGAGCGCCGTCGTAAGGAGCAGGAGGAGGAAGACGATGACGACGATGACGACGATGAGTTTGAAGACGTCGATGTTGGCACGCCGAGCGCGCTTCCAGATGCGAAGCGTATAAAGGTGGAAAGCTCCGCCGCGCCTACCCCTTCAGCCGCAGCCACACCAGCTGCAGTAACCCCAGCCGCTTCAAATGGAGGGGACGAGAGCGAGGAAGACGAGTTTGAAGACGTCAAGTGATTCTGCATAGCGTTGGCGTTCGGGTCTGAATATTTGGATAATATTTATACGATTTACATTAGGGAGGACGCATATGATCAGGAATTAATGTACCCTCCTGAGGCCAGCATTTCAAAAGCGCCGAGGCGTTGGTATAGATCCTGCAATTTTAAACCAGTAGATCATCCAGACCACACAACACCGATATAATGATATTGTACGTATAGTCATCTAATAAGTCATACAAAGGGACAATGATACTACGTAGCACTCAGCCCTACGGTTCCAACATGTTGGAACCGTGGAACGTTAGGCGAGCTTCCATGCCACCTCCGACCCCCGCGTGCATTCACCTCGACCTCCGCATCCACCCCACCAGCACCTCTCCCTCTTGCAATTCCGACAAATCACGCCGCGCTCGCTGATGGACGATAAATAAAAGGCATCTCGAAAATGGCCGCTACTGCCAAATCCCTTTCCTCACTGCTCGCGCAAGCCTCGATCGAAGACCACGACGAAGTGCTAAAGGCTGCAAATGCTGCCATTAAAAAGTCAAAGAGCGATCAGGATGCGCAACATACCAAAGCTGTAGCGCTGCTGCATCTGGACCGATACGAGGATGCGTTGACGGTTTTTGAGGCCACGACAGAGTTGCAGACGAAGGCGCGATTCGAATATGCATATGCGCTCTATAAAACAGGCAATGCGGCCAAGGCCGTCGAGGTAGTCCAGGCGGCGGGACCAGATTCAGGTCGCGGAATGAAGCATATGCTGGCCCAGGCTGTACGTACAGGTTATCTTGAGTGTGTCCATGGCTAATATACGCCAGGCATACCGCTCGGAAAACTTCGCACAGGCAATAAGAATCTACAAGGAACTCGCAGACCAGAACGACGAAAGGGAGGAGTATGACATCCGAATCAACTCCGGGGCCGTGGACGCACAATTGGAGTGGACAGGACAAGGCGAGCTGGCACAGAAGAAGCAGCCCACACGAGAGGATCTGGAGGTTTTTGAAACGGCTTTCAATGCTGCGTGCGGCAGCATATCACGCAACGAGTTTGGACAAGCCCACGTGTGTTTGAAGCGTGCCAAGGATCTTTGCAATGCGCTTTCGGACCTCAGTGAAGAAGAGAAGCAGGCTGAACTATTGCCAATTACAGTCCAGCAGGTCTACGTTCTGATACAGTTGGGCAAGCTTGATGAGGCCGAAGAATTGGCTACCAAGATTCCCTTTGCCGAGTAAGACGTATTCAACCAAACGAGTTCGACGGCTAACAGCAATAGCATCAAAGAATTATCAACACGCTACATTGCTCAAGTCAACAGCATTGCCGCCTCCAAGAAGCTTTCGAACCCGTACCTATCGCATCGTCTTTTCCACGCATCGCCACAGCCCCCAGTCACCGACCAGCACTTTTCCTACCAGTCTAACATACTGCGACAGGATGAATATGTCATGTCGCTGCTCTCACAAAAGGTGGATGGTGTCGCATCATCAACCGAGAAAGTCATCGCTGCCTCTCCTGCCCCCTCGCTGTCTCCTGCAGTCAACATGGCGGCAGTCCTCAATGCAGCAGCCCACGTAAGGAATGCAGAGACGGAGAAAGCTGCCCTCAAAGAGATTGTTCCGCTACTAGAAAAGAGACCAAATGATGTTGGTCTTATACTAACAATAACACACCTATACGTCATCACAAACAACTACGCTGCAGCGACCCATCTCCTAGAATCCTTCTTCAAACGCCTGGAGCAGAGCGGCTCGGCATCCGATCTCGACGCACGTTTCTCGCCTGGTCTAATTGCCACGATTGTTTCGCTATATGCACAACAAGGTCGTCCAGGCGCTTCAAAGAACGAATTGGCGAAAGCAGCCGAGTATTGGCGCAAACCTCATAAGTCAAAAACAGAAGCTCCGTCGAAATCTCTCATGGTCGCTGCGGGTACTGCACTTCTTGATACGCACAACCCCGAAAATGTCAAGTCTGCGGGAGAGATTTTCAAGGGCTTGTATGATCAAGACAATGATGACCGAGCAGCCATTGCCGGCCTAGTTGCAGCATACAGCATCACCGATCCGTCGTCAATCCCTGCAGAACTTCTATCATATCTGCCAGAAGCCAACCGTCTGGTATCCGACATTGACGCAGTTGAGCTCGAGAAAGTCGGCGTGCCATTAGGCACTCTTACATCGGTCAACCTTGGAGCTGTATCACAGAAGCGCAGCGCACCCACCAAGGAAGCACCTTCAAGAGCGAAGAGACTACGCAAAGCAAGGATGCCAAAGGACTACGAAGAGGGCAAGAAAGTGGACCCCGAACGATGGCTGCCAATGCGCGACAGGAGTTACTACCGTCCCAAGGGACGCAAAGGAAAGAAGAGGGCCGAAGGTCTCACACAGGGTGGTGTCGTGGAGAATGAGAAGGGCACACCGGCTGCTCAAGAGAAGAAGGCTGGTGTGGACAAGGGTAAGGGTAAGAAGAAGGGTAAGGGCAAATGGTGAGCAGTAAAAGTTTATTCTGCTGCTACGTTTTCAAGTCACACATGTAGACATCTGTACTGTAGGATGAGGCACGAGTCATGTATGATGTAGATGTGCCCCACTATACGATATCTAGTAGGTAGCTACAGAGAGCTACCCCTCAATTCCTTTGCCTCGAGAACACTGCATTCAGAAAGACAAGAGCAACGACAGCCATGCATAATTGGTCATTCGGACGAAAGAAAACGGGAGCGATCGCATCCCATATTGCACTAACGCCTCCACCTGGTAGGTGACCGAAGGGAAAAAGTTGGAACTTGCGAAAAAATAGAAGCCGAGGTTGACCGCACCCAAACAACTGCTTTCTACGTTTTCTCGGTAACTACCGCTTTTGGATTAGCGCTCTACGTACACGTTACAAGGGCATTTTGGACTACGGGCGGTAGGAGGAATAGACCCACGTGGAAGAGTATAGAAGACTACCGTGTCGGACTAAGAGGTCCACTGTTTTGAGTACTTAAGAGGGGGTGGTTGCCGCGGATTTGGTGTATACGTCAAATATCGATTACTTGGCATCAACACAACTTTACGACTACAATGGCTGGACAAGAGACAAAACAATGGATTCTGGAGAACCCGCCCCATGCGAGCCCAAGGTCGAAGGCGATGATGCGACGTTTAAGCTGCTGAACAAGACGTTGCCGGTGCCCAAGGAAGATGAGTGTGGTCAAGATCAAGTACTTTTCGAATGATCGTAAGTCACATCACCTTTGTATCAACACTACAGCGTCTAACTATAGAAAAGCGGCACAGCGAGGATGGTGTGATCCTACTATTGAGCCAGAGCGTCTATACGTGGACCCCGTCAAAAAGGGTGATATTATGCGTGCCTACGCCCATTGGCGAAATCGTCACATCCAGCACCGACAAACTGCCTAAAGGCCAACTCGTCATGGGCGACTTTGGCTGGACCGAATACACGGTCCAAAACGTCAAAGCCGTGCGTCCCATCCAAGCCGACGAAAGCGCCGGCATCCGTCCCACACACTTCATCGGCTCCCTAGGCGGCCCCGGTATAACCGCCTACGCCGGTCTCATCGATACCGCGCGCGCCACCGCTTCAGACACAGTCGTCGTGTCTGGCGCTGCCGGCGCCACAGGCTCCATGGTAGTTCAACTAGCCAAGCACGTTGTCGGCTGCAAGCGCGTCATCGGTATCGCCGGCGGCCCCGAAAAATGCAAATGGGTAGAATCTCTCGGCGCTGACATCTGCGTCGACTACAAATCCGCCTCGTTTGAAAAAGACCTCAAAGCTGCCACCGAAGGCTTTGTAGAGGTCTACTTTGACAACGTTGGCGGCGATATCCTATCGCTCATGCTGAGCCGCATGAAGCGCTTCGGTCGCATCGCCGCGTGTGGCGCCGTCGCTACTTACAACTCCATGGCCGACAGCGGGGTGAAGAACTGGTTTGAGATTATTAGTAATAGGCTTGAGGTTAAGGGGTTCATTGTTATTGATGCTATTACGAGTGGCAAGGCGGGACCTTGGATTCAGGAGATGATTGGCGCGGTGAAGGAGGGGAAGATTAGGGTAGGCGAGGAGACGGAGACGGTGGTTAAGACCAAGTTTGAGGATGTGCCGAAGACTTGGATGATGCTTTTTGAGGGTGGAAATAGGGGCAAGTTGGTCACTGAAGTTGTTGCTTAGATGGACTGGATGTGACGAGAAGGAGAGGTTTTGGAGAAGTTTGTATAGGATCGATTGATTTGGGGTAGGGTGGAGATAATGACTGTAACCCCATAATAACAACTCAAGATGCACGTCTCTCACTTCTAGCAGCCCATCTACATTCACATTCTCACATCCCACTGCCTATCTCTGATTTCTCATTCCTCTATGCCAAAAGTGATCAACTTCCCACTCACTTCTTCTAGTTAGTATCAAATCAAGTCTCATATGTTTCAACCAAATCTACTCACAACCTTTTGTAATCCACCCTTCTTCTTTGCCTAGTCCCTCATCAGTGTATTCTTCAACCTAATTTCTCGTGTCAACTTACAGTCTTTGGTAATCCAAATATTCTTCTTGAATATATGTTTGTCGCCATCCTGCTTGACAGCGCCCTCCTCAGTGATTGAACCGCCTTCTTCAACTTCTTGCTTGTTCCACTTTGAGACAATGTCGTCGGTGTCCGCGAAGACACGAAGAGTGTTGAGATTGTTCAAGATGGCCTTCGAGTTCGTATAGCCCACTTTTGGGCCTCCTTTGCTTGAGCCTGAGGGGTAATCGATTCTCCAAAACATTTTGGTGGAATGTGTAATGTGGTATTTGCTAGAGTCGTGGGGCGTTGAGTTCTTCGGTTGGATGTCTAAGGTCTTGTAGTAGCTGTAGGAGAATGATTGCTGTTGTAATGAAGCAAACATACTGCCTTCACAGCTGCCTTTTATACCTGTCCGTGACTCTACCGCCATGTGAGTCCTATTATTGTAGAGTCAGATTATATGGGTATCGTAGTACAGCAGAGTTAACGTCCTTCAGGGTCGTAACGTGACGTCGTGGGGGTTGTAACTAGACTCCGCAACAATCAATTCAATCCGGTCACTCTCCTAGACCCACTTACCTATCTAGGTAGGGCTTAAACTCCTATAGGTAACTACTAGGCTTAAAGCGGTAATCAATCAATCCAATCTGAACCTTCTAGGACCCACTTAATTGATTGTTGCGGACTGTGGTTGTAACACAGTTGGGTCAAAGCGCAATGGAAGCCCTATCTTTCACCCTTGTGCTACAATGTAGAATCAGAGCTTAGTAAATGTTGAGGTATGATAAGAATTGTATGATTTTTGGAGTCAGGTCAAGACACGGTGGCAGTGAAGATGTCGGAGGTGTTGTCTTATGGTTGCAGTCTTGCTATAGCGTCACTTCTGAACTGCGACTTGAGGGGCTGTGGCCAGATCATGCTCTATATCTTCTCCAGCATAGCTTCTCACTCAAAATATCAGGTAATCAATCAATTTCTCTCTCTCCAGGCCGCGATGGTTAACAGCATGATATCCCCCACTATTACATCGCGAACTGACTGGACAAGCACTCATAAGACTCATCACTCTCAGCGTGTTTAGCATATAGAATGTGATCAAAGACGAGCGATAGTCATGTGTTGGTTAGTCCGAGAGCAAGTCTTACAAAAGATGACGATACCTACGGTTTGCCCGAGGTGCCGAAGGTTTGATATCTAAATAAAGAAACTACACTGTCACAATAAGCATTGTGACGATATCTGTTCCGACTGCGTGGTAAGAGCCAGCATCGTGATTCAGATACTGAAATCATTCTGGGCATGTTGCTGACATGTGCTGTGGAGTATCTAATGGTCTTGTATTTGCCCTGCCCTTCTGCTATGACATAATGAAACTGAATGAAGGTGTTTATATGAATATGCCACACAGAGAAACCTCTCTCCGATTCAACACCCCTGGTTATGTACAGCCAATCTGAGACATTTAGTTACTCAGCCGCCGCCCTTGGTAGGTGTCTCGCTATCGCTACGTTTGGTTTGACTCTTCACATAGTTCTCCCATGGCACCAGAGCGTCTTTCACTGAGAAATGGGTCAGCGCTAAGTGACCATACAACCAGCACTGCAAACTTACAACCTACGGTAGTAATTTTCTCCTCCGGTTCCTCCTCAAATTTAAGACTGTGTATTGAACGGAGGATATTTCTTAATTCTTGCCAGTTGTTCACTGTTTACCCACACTCTTCCTCCGTGGCCGTCCATACACGATCGATGTTGGGGTTAAACAACGAGTTGGTGAGGCATTTTTCAAAGACTTCTCGGTCATTCGTAAAGCCCGGTTGTTCGACCCAATTGTTTTCCCCTACTTCCACTAGGTAGGTAACACACCAGTATTTCAATTCCTTGGGCATGACTTGATCTGGTTGGAACGATGTGTAGATAGGGAGAAGTTCGTTTTCGGGCGTTCTAGTACGATGATACAGTATATCACGGGTTCACTGCAGTCGCTCGCTTGGTGTCTTGCCAAAGTTGTTTTTGCTGTTTGGATAGCGGAGTGGATTACGGTGAGGAAGCCATAATCGATCAAAGTATGGTTTTATACTCCGGTATGACTCAATCGCAAAAGATGAGTAGTTAAATGCTGGTGGTGAGCAACACCTAGGTATGATAACATAACAGTTAGACTCCGCAACAATCAATTCAATCCGGTCACTCTCCTAGACCCACTTACCTATCTAGGTAGGGCTTAAACTCCTATAGGTAACTACTAGGCTTAAAGCGGTAATCAATCAATCCAATCTGAACCTTCTAGGACCCACTTAATTGATTGTTGCGGACTGTGATAACAGTCACCTTGGTTATGAGCAACATCATCGAGTATCAGCCATGTTATCGTCGACCCGAATCGGGTGACGCAACCGCGACTGTACTCATCCATTGGTCATTTGCGTTGCCTCTTGATAGAACGGATGGGTAGCGTAAACTGCGCACCTCGCGGGAGTTGCTTTGGATGGTGCAATCCGGTTGCCAGTTTCGAGTGGGAGCGCTGATAGGGAAGGAAAGGGTGTTCCCGCAGTAAGCCAGAAGCCTCAAAGAAGATGAGGTGAGCCATGGACTGTGGCAAAATCAATATTCAATCAGATAATCCGGGGATCGTTTTTTACAGTATCCTTGACGGCGTCCAATGGATCCAGAGTGAACTCCGTCGAATAGAGCTCCGGTACCCTTGCACTAGTGTAGACCTTTGCGCACCATGCCGCCTCTCTTTTGGCGCCCTTCATCTCGTAGAATTTCCTTGCGACCATGAGTGGAGTGAGAGATCCAAACTTTGCCGTATATCCTGTGATGGGCCGACAGTGATACGGTACACTTCGACAGATCGAGTCAGCATAACTGCTGAGTTGACGATCCCAAGTCATCAGTTGTTTGAGGTCTAGTTGCCGATGTTGCCGGAGTAGCTTGAAGGTATTGCCCTGCAAAATCAACATGCTCATCCAGTAAATAAGGTAGCAAATACCAGCGCTAAAGTAGTGGAACTCGAATACGGAGTCGAACACTCCAGAATCGGAGCAAATGTCAGAGAATCCATCCATGGTGGTAACGTGGACTCTATTGTATCGTGGACCATGCTTCTCATAATTGGAAAGCCAACCAAAAGCACGGTTGGCGACTTCCTGCGCATCGTCGACCAAAGAATCGACATCTTCTTTCGAGCAGTCTTTGGGCAGTTTGTCCGTGCGTTCTAAAAGCCTAGGTATGGTAATACATATGTCCTGTAAAGCCACGTAAGGGTCGACCTTTGCCGCTTTGGCTGTCACCGTCAGCCACTCTGGGGTGTCGAGCGAAGAGGCCCTTCGGATGTGATAGCCGACAGTCAGCTTTGAACAGATTAGCAATATCCATAAATATTCCACAATAGGACTGCATACAGAGTTATACCGTATGGCGTGAAAGATCTGCATGCTCTGTCTGGTCTGGAATGAGGCCGGTCCGCGTTGCCTTAGCAGATGTAAAAGTCCCTGAACGTGATAAAAGAAGCCATAACCCTGAGTAACGCCAACAAAGATCTGTGCAAACAATATTAGCACTGCTCTCTAGCACAGATTCTCATATAATTACCTCGTAGAGTGCGAGAAGATAAGTGGAGAGTATTGTCTCGTCTTTTAGGGCCATTTCTGGGTTTTGAATGGCTCGCAACAGTTGACTCAAAGCGGTACCGTAGAGTGATCTGGAGCGATGCACGAGCAGGACATTCCTCCTAGATACAGCTAATTGCGCTGCGGATAGCGCGTCGATGGCAGACATGAGTACCTCACTACTTGCCGGCATATTGGGTAAGCCGAGCATCAGCGCCGATGGAGGGGGCAGCGCTGGACCCTCGACCCGTGGCAGATACAACGAGATAAAAGTGCCCAAATGTTGGATTCTGTCTGCTGCAACCGGGCTAACCTGCTTTGGCAATTGCGTTCCTTCAGCAATCGAATCATGCCTGCGGATTAAAGCCGTTCCAGAGGGAGTTTCGGTTTTTTGTACGCTTGACGAAGTTTGACTGGCGTATCTGTATGCATTTTCGTCCTCTTTGATCAAAGCAGGCTTTTCTCCACGCACGTCAAATTCGTGGAGGATGAATGATTGCGTCGGTCGATAGCCAGGACATTTCGTTCCACGTCTCAGACAGGTAGAGCATTCTGGCTTGGCTTCATCGCACCGGACCTTTCTCTTTCTGCACTCAAAGCAACCGGCCGACCTTTTCGGCATGGTTACACTAAGCGAATGCCTTATTCGGATTGGGGGAGACTATGATACGAAACATGCGACAACAGAAATGTGTGTTTCGGGACTCTAGATGGCAAAGTGGTGTGGCTGGCAGTGTCATGTCGATGACGGCGGAAGGGGCGACGGTAGTGAAAGCAGCATTCGACTGCGCGCCGCTAAGAGTGCCTAGATGTGACAGCCAAGATGTCCACGGGTACCTTGGAGATGCCCGCCAATGGAAACTAATGCTGTCCCCCAGCTTTGCAGCATCTCCCGCTTGCGCGTGCTCCCGGAGTTTCCACGATAGGTCGATCGTTATGAGATGAGGGGCTTGTCCGTGGCAGTGCACTAATCTCCAACACGGATCATCCACGCTATGGCCAATCCCCAACTTCATCCGGTGCTTTCTCGTCCGGGGCTTTGGCCTAGTCAATCTGACATCCCGCGTTCTAGAGTTGGGAATTGCTAAATTTCACCAAAAAAACAGATGACCAACATAAAATGCACAATAATCTTGTACGTGGTGCGGGTATGTTACATCTAACACGGCCTTAACTAGAGAGGCAATGTTAGAGAACGAGGGAGGACTCTAGAGATATCAAAAGCCGGTTGGAAAGAGAGGGGAAACTTCTAATGGACTTGGAAGACATTTGACGAAGCTCCGCGGATGAATGGTTAGATGCCACATGGCCACAACAAGACCCTTACATAAGAAGCAGGAGCTCATCGAGATTGTGTTCACTATTGCAGTAATGCGCTATGGTATTGTAAACTCATGGTAGACATGCGGTAAGTATGTGTCCACCTATGCGTGTACATCGGCTTTCTCTGCGCCTCTACGTAGGTGCCTACGTAAGACATCATTACGACACCTACACGAATAGACCGTATCTTACACGCATTCCAACAACAAACCCTGACACTCACACGCCAGAAAACGATAACCTTACTATAGGACTCTGTCACTCATAGTTACATTATGTTAATCTTCGATTGGTTTATTGTGACTGGCAATAGCATGCACGAGTTTCGCAATTGAATGATACCGTCACCACAGCACACCTAGTAATTTGTATATTGCCATACAAGGCAATGGTGTACCTCCATGACTCAGATACGCTGACTGTATTCTTAAAGTCCGCCTGCTATCAATTCCCATACACAGACAATTCTACCCGGATGCACCTGCCCTAACAGGCTCACCACAACCAGCTTACCGTGTCTTATCAATCTCCAAAACCGGCTTGTGTCGCCATGGGAAATACCCCCACTAAGCCCCGCCAGCACTCCGCCTACACTTGGCGCTGTCACCACTGTGCGTTTGAACTGTGCATTCATCAAATCCATAACCACTAACTGTAGCAGGTGAAAGAATATGGTCCATCACGCACGTAGGAAACAAGTGCCCAGCGTGTGGACACAGAAAATGCTGGAGGAAGTGTCAAGTCATGGGGCTTTCGAGAGCCGATGAGCTGTGGCTGGGGAAGTAGGCGTACTTTATTCATGAGCGTAAGTGTAAGTGTGTCGAACGATTTCACATTCTCCAGGAAATGATTCAATTGGGGATATATATACTTCTATACGCCTGACCTGACCGGATCGCGAAACTCCTAGCCGCCTTGATTCATTGCTTGTGTGACGCTGAAATAACAACTTTAACAAACTTGACAACGTAGACTTATAGCTTGGCTGATCCAAGGCCATATGGAATAATGAAAAGGCTACTATGTGATAGACATGGTGGCAAATATAGACGAACATGACAAAAAACGCTGGACTGTTGCGCCATATCGTGCAGTGATCACAAAACCAACCCGTATCCTGGCGACTGTCCTGATGTCCAATACACCGTGTATCCAAAAGCAGAAAAGTTCCAACACTCTACTTGAGAGTTATATTTCATGCAGCGATGTAGCAAGAGACATAGTATCACAAAATCGGGCTACTATGCTATCCATCGTATTCGGGTGGTGGTACGCTGTCCGCGATAAATGGCGCCATGTGTCTTGAGTGAAGCTGATATGGCGGTGCCATTTCATCCAACTCTTGCAAGTCCGTAGTCGTATCTACCTCACGACTGTGTGTTGTGCGATCCAACTCTTGATACACTGGCCAAGATCCGACATCCTCTAGGACAGTACACGCTTGCCAATCCGTTACAACTTGTACTGGCTGAGTACACGCAATCCCCTGAAAGTCGCGGTCTGCACATCTCCCATACACCTCAATTTGCAGCTCATGTTCTAAATTCAGACCATATGACGTAAAACTCGGAACGATCTTGTCGTGTATGAGTTTGACATCTGCCACGTCTAGGAGATTCATTCCGTCGAAGAGTGGCTCTCCGTTGCCCTTCTCAAACTTCTTATCACAAAGCGTGATAGTGTCGCGTTCTGTGTGCAAGTACTCCTGGCTGTTCCGTCGCGCCAATATCTCGGTAGGTACGAACGTGTTATATGCGGATAGTAGCTGGACTTTAATGCGGCGCAGAAACAACTCGGGTGGATTGGCAAGAGACTCGGACCGCTTCAAATGCTGAACGGTAATGACGACTGGGACCCGCTTGCCGATGACCAAGACGCTGGCAGGAGTTGCAAAGAGGTTAAATTTGACGTATGGGACTTCAGCAAAGCTTTGAAGACCAAATAACAACTCCTTGTCGACGAGTTTGTCTTTGATTTTCCCAAGCTTTCCATTATGTTCGTCGTAGTTGGGGAATAGCCTGCGAGAGCGAATGAATTTTTCGCGGCTGTAATGTTTGGGTAGTCTCGTGCCAAAGTTTAGGTCTGGCTGAAGGAGTGCTGGATGGTATTGGGGCGCTGGTGGCAGGTACTTGATCTCTTCACGTATCTTCAGTAGTTGACTACCCGGGGTATGCGATTCCATGTATGCTTCCAGGTGATATATGACACGAGGACTTGAATGAGTATTACCAGTACAGCTCGGAGGCAGTGGGAACCCGGGTGAGTGTTGAAATCGTGGGTGGTTGTAAGAGTCCTTGGAGTAGAACCAGGTCCTGTCGGAGGGCGGTGACAAAGTCGCATGGTGTGGGACTATCAGAGAGAAAGGCAGCTCGACCTTGCCAGGACTTTTTGTGCTCTTGGGAAGAAGCTCAAAATTCTGGCTACTGGTTCTGGAGATGAACACATGTTGCGAGTGGTGCAAAAAGTCAACTCGTACGTTTCCGGCATTTCCGTCTTGAATCGTACATGAGCCAAGCAGGCCGACACTGATGTGAATAGGTCGCGAGGTGGGCGTAACAAGTAGGTTGCCTTTGATGAGATCCCCTGCCGTGAAGAAAGATGGCGAAGTCAAGAGCTGGATGTATACTGGGCCGTCTTTACGGTTGGCCCGAATGCTTATTGAAGGCGCCGGCGACGCCATGGTACGGTGATTGCCTGCTGCGCAGCCAGAAGCCAAGGTTGACGGAGAAGTGAAACTATGTATCTCAATAGTTTGCGTGAGCTCAGATGATGTATTATACAGCGATGTCGCTTCACTCCCTGTTCCTCGGCATCTGCATACCAAGCTCTCGTGTCACGAAAGTTAGCCGAATGTTCCATCTTGGTATACCAGTTTGGTTATGCTCAACGCTAAGATGGGTGCAAAGGCGTGCGCGTGGGAGCGCTAGCTGCGCCCCAATGCAGCACATACGAATCGGAAAAATCCCCCTCAGAAATCGCATACAGGATGCCAAAATCAAGTGTTCTTGGTGTTGAGCGTGCTGGGGTGGCGTTTTGGGTTGACGCTCATTGGCAGTTGTGTCGGCCAGGGTCTTGCCGTCATCGATGGCAGATGGCGCGACTCCGCGACATTTTGAACGATGCGGGCTCTGAATGCTTTCCCAAGCAACATCTTCTGCAATGGCTGCCAACTACACGTGCACAGCCTGTTCGAGGGCGTCACTGAGGTCCCCTAGCTCCTTTCTACAAGTACACAGCCTCGATCCAAGACAAAGGCAAAGACTGACGGCTGTAGCGCACGAATAAAGCAACTTTGCGCCAAACCCGACGAGCATTTTCCACCACCACCCCGACCACATATCATGCGTCACAAGGCTTGTCAACAGATGTCAGGCCCGAGTCAATCAAGAAACCATATCCATCCGCTGGAGCTGGTGCCATGGGCCTGGCCCAGAAGTTGCGCGAAAAAGCCCCATTGATGACTGAAACCTATGTCGCATATGGCGCAACACGAGACTTGATCAAAGAGTGCACGAAACCGGGTGAATATAAAATACCCCAAGCGCTTGTGAAGCGAGGCGAGATCCCCGTGGACGAGAATGGTGTGCATCTTGGTGAGGCTGAGGGGTGGTGGTATGACAGTGAGTATAACCATAGGCAGCAGGCGCGCAGTGGCTAACGGGTATACAGCCCTCGGACTCAAGCCCACCTTCTCAAACTGGGCACAAATCACCTTCATCCACATGTACATGTTGCAAGTCCGCTTTCGCATGTTCCCCCAATCGCACGCTCCCGTCTGGATCCAGCATCTCACCAACCAAGCCTTCTACACAGCCGAGGACCGTCTGGTGATATGGCACAAGTTCAATGCCAATTCGCTGCGCCAGAAGCATCTCAAGGACATGTTTGCGCAGTGGCGTGCAGTACTCCTCTCGTATGACGAGGGTCTGATGAAGGGAGACGCCATGCTTGCAGCTGCCGTCTGGAGGAATCTGCTAGGCGCAAAGGAAGATGTCGACTTTGAGAAGCTCGCACAGATTGTGGGGTACATGAGGAGAGAACTCAAGAGGCTGGATAACGCGACGGATGATGAGGTAGCGAGTGGGGGTTGGACATTCCGTGGTGACCCAGGAGATGAAGCCAGCATCGTCAAAGCGCCAAGCAAGTTGATGACCCGCGAGACAATGAAGGCGTAGTAAGTGAAACGAAAAGTACTGCATGGAAAATGTATAAATATGTACTGTATATACATGACACGGCCGACATGAAATGTAACAACAAGTATTGCAGCCAACTATTAGAGCGGAGAGATTTTTGACTGACCCAAAGTCATCTGTTATAGCTCATCAGTACTCAGTGGTGATTTGAGGTGCCTTCTGTGCCTTCTGTGCCTTCACATGCTTCATTGCAGATTGATGTCTGCAAGAATCCCAGAGATCATGTGATTGCGTTTATCGATAGCTTATATTAGCTGACACCAGCTCTTGGCGCGTTGGCGCAGTCGCGAACGAGACGCCATTGTCCTCCTTTCACCTAGGCGCCTGTAGACAACCCCGTTCCTTCGGCTACGCGCTCAATTATCAGTATTAGAAACGTCGTAAATATACGCACGCTCACTTAAGATGCCGGCTATCATCCCCGCGCCGCCGCCGGAGATTCCAGGCTTCCAGATTCCCCATCAGGACGCTCAACCACTCAAAGAAACAGTTGCGCGTCTACTGGAACGCGACAACCCGCGCTTTCCAGGCGCGCAACCCGTATCCTTCGCTCGCGAACACGTAAAAGAGCTCCAACAAAATGAATACTTCATGTGTGAGAAGACGGACGGCTTGCGATGTCTCCTCTTCCTACACTGGCAAGACGGGCCACAAGGGTTTGAGCCGTGTACTTTTCTGATCGACCGAAAGAACAACTACTACGACATACAGCCTCCGTTCCGGATACCTCACTATATGCATCCGGGAGAGAAGGGCCCGTTCTTGTTTGGGACGATTCTGGACGGCGAATTGGTGCACGATCAATACCCAGGCGAAGCTGCGCCGCGCCTAAACTTTTACGTCTTCGACTGCTTGGTAGTTAACGAACAGAATGTGACTGGTCGGACACTAGACAAGCGGTTGGGGCGGTTGCACGATTGGGTCATCAAGCCTTATGAAGCCAATCTAATGAAAACTTTTGGTAAAAACATCACGCCCGACCACCTCAAGCCATTCGCTCTCAAAGGCAAGAAGACATACGCTGCCTATAGACTCGAAGACATGTTTAGCAATATCCTCCCAAACCTCAGACACGGAAACGACGGTCTGATCTTCACATGCGTATCGACGCCATACCAGTTCGGCACGGATAGGCACATCCTCAAGTGGAAGCCTCCTCATGAGAACACAATCGATTTCAAGCTTCGCCTCGGCGAATTCCCACTCATCGACCCCGAAGACGGCGAAGGCGGCAAAATCCCCGACTACGACGCCATGCCCAACCCTCTAGAACTGCTCGTCATGCACAACCAAAACAACTACCAATGCTTTGCGACTCTTTCCCTCTCACAGGCCGAGTGGGAGACGCTTAAGTCTCTCAATCAGCGTCTGGACGGCCGTATAATAGAGTGCTACCGCACAGAGCAAGGTCAATGGAAATACAAGGCAGAAGCCGACGGTACGCCGCGCTGGCGAGACGATAAGAAAGACGCAAACCACATCAGTACTGTGAATAGCGTACTTGAGAGCATTGAGGCGCCTGTGACAGAGATGGACCTCTTGGCAAATGCGGAAAACATCAAGCGCGCCGTGTACGGGATACAAGGCAAGCTGGATCAGTACCGACCACCACAAGATAGCGGCGAACGAGATGCTAAGAAGCGCAAGCTAAGTGAAGCGGGCCTCAATGGCCACTGAGGACGTTATTGATATCGCAGCCACTAACCTCGGTTTGTTTGATTTGTGTTTTGCAAAAGCGTTCAGTGTGGATTTTTAACGTACCCATGGGCTTTTAGGTGCAGGAGTTTAGATTCTGGTATTTGGCACTATTGGCAGGAAATGATACCCATGCGTTATATCCTTAGATATGTGGGGCGGTTTGACTTGACCTTTCGTAAATTTCAAGGACCATATTGCACGCTGCTTCTTCGCTGGTGATTTGTTTTCCGCGACAAGTGTCGTAGGTTGATGTGCAGTAACACAGCGGAAAATAACAGACATGCTGAGGATCAAGGAGGAAGCAGGTCCTAAGCTTCAATAACTTCGTACATCGTGCCCAACAGGCGTTCGAGCTTCTCCATCTAGATCTCAAGCACACAGCATCCGGCCCGGCCCGCACATCTAACTGCCCAAACTCCGCTTATATCCATCGAAGATGTCATACTACACCAGGTCGCCTGCCCGCTACATCATAAATACTCAAATACGCCGCTGTGCAGCCGAGATCTCCAATGACATGCACGATAAACCCCGCAATTCATGCCGCAATAAGAATGTGGGGGCCTGTTTTACCAGATCCACCACATCCCACTGGACAGCTTAGGAACCATGGACAGTATCGGCGAGTACTTGACGCGAGGCTTTCTGGAAGCATCTTATGGGTTTGTAATACTTTGGGGTATAAACTACATCACGCTGCTCAATTAAACGACATGTTCCACACCAATTCTTTGTTGTGTACCAATCGTCGTTCCTAATAAATCATGTCGAACCAAGCAGCATGGATTCCAGAGGCCAAGGGCAAGCTCCAGGTCAAGGAAGCCCCCATGCCAAAGGCGGGCAAGGGCGAGGTAGTGATTAAGAACCATGCCGTCGCTGTCAACCCAGTAGACTGTATGTTCTTCTCGATACTTGGGACACTCGATTTACTAACTAGAGTAGGGAAGATTCAGGATTATGGCCTTTTCCTAAAAACGTACCCCTACATCTGTGGAGTCGACGTTGCGGGTGAAGTCCACGAAGTGGGTGAGGGCGTCACGCACGTCAAGCCCGGAGACAGAGTATTAGGGTATGCCGTTCATTTACCATGCTACGAACTGATATAAGAGCTAACGATGCGTCTGCAGCCATGCCTTTTCCCTCGTAACCAACAACCCAGCTCACGGTGGCTTCCAACTCTACACCGCGTGCAACGCCCTCGTTGTTGCAAAGATTCCGTCAAGTATGTCCTTCGCAGAAGCATCAGTCCTCCCTCTCGCAATCTCAACCGCAGCCACCTGCCTCTTCAAGAAAGAGACACTCGCCCTACCCTTACCGTCCTCCAACCCCCCTTCAACCAACAAATCAGTCTTGGTATGGGGCGGCTCGAGCAGCGTGGGCGCAGTAGCAATCCAACTAGCCGTAGGCGCAGGCATCAAAGTCGTCAGCGTAGCAAGCAAGCACAACCTCGAGAACCTCAAGAGCCTAGGCGCAACAGCGGCTTTCGATTACAAAGACCCCAACGTCACCCAAGACATCATTGCTGCACTCGAGGGCACAGAGTTTGCGGGTGTGTGTGATGCCATCGGTACTCCCGAGGCTGTTGCCGCCTGGACACCCGTATACAAGAAGCTTGGTGGTCGCTATGGCTCGGTGCTGCCGACGGACAATGGTATGCCCGAGGGGATTCAGGGCGAGAGTGTTTTTGCGGTAAGCGTCGCGCTTGCGGATAAGTACATTGGCGATGTTGTGTGGGCGCAATGGGTGCCTGAGGCGCTGGAGAAGGGGACGCTGAAGCCTGTGCCAGAGCCGCTGGTCGTGGGCAAGGGATTGGAGGCTGTGCAGAAGGGGTATGATGAGCAGAAGAAGGGGGTTAGCTTCCGCAAGGTTGTTATTGAGCTATAGGTAAAGCTGGTCATATCTTTCTAGCAATGTAGGATACAAACGACATGCAACAATTCATCTTAAACGCGATGCCGGCGACTGCTTGACTCTCACATGTGAATGTTTACTTACATCACGAACCCACTTTGGGTGGGACCGGCGAAACGTACATCCGAAACCCCACTTTAAAGTTTTTAGCTTCCTGCAAGCTTCCAAGGTTCATCTGCAGACTCAGTCTCTCTTCCTTCAACATTCTGCGCATCGAGCTCTCTGTAATGTCCAGCCCGCTCATCCTCGCTACATAGTTGCAGTCATTCCTGTAAGTTATATGCCGTCTGCTTCTACACAATCTTTCCTTCCCATTACATGATGAAACATTTCCACATTCGCAGTTTCCACGCTAGCCATCAATTGAACCTACAACCGATGGACAATGAGCGCGAATACCTTCCTTGGATGTCTGATATACTCTAAAACTTATTACAATACTTTGCTGTATCTGTGTGAGCTATCGCTGACTCGTTCAAAGTGTAGATGATCATTCGCTCTCGCTCTCTAATGTTCGGAGACTTCCCCTGTCCGAGAGCTTTTGGTGGAGTGATCGCTGGATACTTGCACTTACACAAGGTATCACACAGCACGTTGGAAGTAGATAAATATGGAGTAGACTTGTTCATTCAATTCTCATTTACAATTAAGACCAAACAAAAACTCCTCGCTCTTTCTCAATATCAACGCTGCTCCAGGCACTGCCTGGGATGTGGTATCTGTTACACTCAATCTCTCGCTAAATCTATACCAGGGTATATCTGTCTTGCACTCCATCAAACGCTTAAAGCATGAAGAAGGTGAAGAGACCGGTAAGACCGGCAAAGGCGACGCTGCCGCCGACTTGGGAAGCAGCACCAGTTGATTGGGGTGTGCCGGACATGCTGGCCATGCTGCCGGATCCGGATTGAGTTCCTGATGAGCCCGAGCCCGAGGTAGCGGTGCCGTTCTCGTTGACCTTGCCGCCGGTACCAGCCTTGGATGTTGGGGAGACGTTGTCGGAGGCGGCAGCGGCAGCCTTCTTGTAGGCGTCGATGGTGTTTGCGCCAGAGGCAGGGGGGTTGATGACACCGACCATGCCGCCTTGGCAATGCTGGCCCTGGGAGCAGTAGAACCAGATGGGAGCCGAGGCGTTCTTGACTTCGTATGTGAAGCTGGTGCTAGCGGCCTTCTCCGTGTCCGTAGTAGGAACGAAACCTGACCACATGCCGTCGGCCATGGGCTCACATGGCTTGGCAAAGGTGGACTGAACGACGGAGTGGTTCTTGGGCCAGAAGTGGAACACAACGGTGTCACCCTGGGCAGCAGTGACGGTTTCGGGCATGAAGACGATGTTGCCGGTCTTGTCACCGACGGCGACGATGTGCTCGGCTGCCATGGCAGCACTGGCCATGGCCGAGGCAGCGAAGATGGTGGAGAAATGCATTATGATGGTGATGTGCGTGGGTGTGTAAAGAGACTAGCTCGATTTGGTATTAGGATAGTGCTTAAGTGAGGGAAGCTTTTGTTTGGTGTGTGTAGTTGATTGGTGATGAGAAGTGATGAACTTGGTTCTGCCTTAGAAAGAATTAGAGTTGAGCACATTCGAGTCCATTATATAGCATGGCGGTACAAGCAAGCGAAACAGTTGCCGCCGCCTGAACGGATGAGTCGGCTTGCTCAGGCCCGGGGGCATGAAGAGTACGAGACTTGAGGTGTCGCGGATGATTTCCTGACGCCAGGCCGTTGACGGTGAGATCTGGGGAACCATAGCGGTCCAAGCGGCACGTTGCGACTGGTCAGGTTGGGGGAGGCGTCCGTATCCAGCCGCGGTGTCGCACGGGCATCGCTGTTTGTTGTCTAAGCCTCCAGATGTGACTTGTTTGAAAGCCAATTGCCGCTGGCATCACAGCCCCTATTCGCAGGGTTGAGGCGTTTCTGGCAGAGGGATGAAACGTGGCAGTGGCGCGATGCAACAACTCAAGTTTGGAGACGCTTGTCCGCGCTAACTGACAGGCAAATCGACAGCCGTTGACAGCGGACACTCCACCGCCGCGGCAGGGCCTGCTACGGTCTTTCTTTACGGCCTTTCATCATCGTCGCTTAGGGCCTTTCACGGATATTTTCAGCTAGGCTAATAATAGTTAGCGCTGTTGTCAAAGGTGAGTTGCGACTGTACCGTAGTAAAGCAGGGGAGATCTGAACCACAACACATGTCTACCAAGCAATTGCTGATACGGTCGGTATATACACGTCCTATCTCTTGATGCTGCCTAATGTACCGCCTCGATCCTACATCAGAGCTTAGGTACTAGTATTTCAAGTGGAACATGATTAATTGATACTTCTAGACCGCGACTGAATTAAGCAATGGATTTAATATTTGTATAAAGGGGTACGGTACTTTAGTAAAAGAGTTGGTTAATAGTATAATCTTTTTAGCTACTAACCATCCTCTTAAAGCTTGCCTATGCATCTCCTTCTTTCCATCTACCTACGCCTACTTATGGCATTTCCTATACCCAAAATCTCCACATCTCACTGTAAAGGTGACCCATTCGCCAGGTGCCAGAAATAGAGGCTCTTCATAGTCAGCTGTTGAATCCCTTGCGCCCCGACAGACACTACACACGAAGGGCATAGCCCCGTTTACTAAGCCCCGCTCAGCTTCCTCGATATCACCACCAATATCTTTACACATTAGAAGAGATTTGGTGTTGCGGTCAGTATTATAATCTTGAACCGCTGAATTCGAGAAGGAGTAGTAGACGGCACAGTCTTTAGCGAAGGCTAGAAGGGGGGTTGAGAGAAGAAGGGTGGTGGATAGGTGACGCCTAGGGAATCATTTAGTGTGGAAGGTTATAAAGTTCTTTAGGATTATAGGCTTACATTGTATTAGGTAGGGAATACTTTGTTTGTAGAAGTTTGGCAGGAGGAGACTTGGTCGTCGTAGGGACCACAGGGTGAAGAGTCGAGGTGGACTCCTCGCAAGGGCTGGTAGTCTCCGCTTGCGGGGCTTGCGGGACTATAGATGTTTGGCAGGGTGGCGGGTAGGAGACTAGATTGGTGACTTCGTTGGGTGAAGAACGAAGACTCTTAACTACACTTTGTAGATCGTGCGATAATGTACATACGCGTGGTCTTCCGTGCTGACAGCTGTAGCCACACCACTTGTACGCCGACACAATGTCACATGTCACTGTAAGTCCGAATAAGCTCTAAAAAAATTGTATTACGCAAATTGATCGCGACATGGAGGAGTCGTCTACATTCGTTATATTACTCTAGATACCTGTCATTTGTGCTCGCAGAACACACACACACACACATACACACACACACGTCAAATTTATACTCGCAGAACTCACACAACAATACATGGTACACCAGACGCAGGCTTACGGGATCAATTAAAAACTGCTTGCCTAGGGACAGGCAGTACCAGAAGCTGTTGTCGGCCGACAACCTGTGATGAGGCGAGAAGTTAGTATGCCTCGAGGCTCGTCCCCAGCAAAAGGGCCGAGCTTGGTGAGATTTGGGCAGGTGAGCCATTTCAAAGCGGCGTCCACGATTCATTTTGTTCGTGTCGAAACCTACGAGCGCTTCAATCTGCCCTTCAGAAGGTACCGTACCTATGGAATATATGTCAACTCCACCTGCATGACGGAAAACTGGGTTGATTGCATTTTGATGGCAGGTGTCAGGTGATTAGAGCATCAGTCAGCTCTATGCATTGGACTGGCAGCTAATGCAACGGTCGAGGCCATCGTTGCAATCGTGAGCGTTACCACGACAGGCAGCTCCTTCCACCCATGGTATTCCCGGGGTCTGGCCCTTGAACGGCCGGTTCTCACCACAGCAACCTCGCTGCCTCGCTGCCCGAGGTTGTCGGTCAAATGTCGTATCGTGTTGCCGGATCCGCTGCCAAATCGCGCCATATCGGATGCAGCGGGTTTCCGAATCGTCAGCACGGCAGGCCTGCTGAGGTGATAAAAAGGTGGTTTTTCCGCTCCGTTTTCCGTCCGTCGGTGGGGGACGGACAGCCGCAGAAACAGCCGTAGAGAGTGGCTTACTGTGCTAGCGAACGAGCCATGTGTTATTTGGTCATTGCTAAATGAGGTATAGTTGGCTAGTCACGTGTCGCTGACATCTCGTAGCGTCCCACCGCATGACCACACCGCAGCACACCGCAGCGTGAGAACTAGACGCAGTTCCATCGAAAACGTCTTGAATGCGCCCCGAGCTTGAGTGGAGTGCTGCGATGTTTTATTGATCGCTATGCATAGCTGCCAGTTGCGGCTTTGGCCAATGTAACCTCCGGGCTTGACCCTCGCTTCCAACGCTTGCTGTGGCTAGTGCAAGCCGCACCCGCAGCTAGAGGGCTAAAAATATCTACCATCTCCGCATTTACTCTCGTGTTTGATTGCGCTATGAGCTCATTTGGTCTATAGTACGGGATTCTAGAGGGTGCCATGGTCATCTGCCCTCATGATTGCAATTAGTGTTATGGGAATTATGGCAAGGGCGAGTCAGATCTGAGCTAATGCTCACATTCCAACATCGTTGCCCGGTAGACTAGGAAAACTAGAGAGAGACTACGACCGATGTGACCTTACGAGAGAGGCAAACCTCGCATTGCAAAGTGGAGTGTTCAGGGTGGCGAGATGTATAAAGGACCATGACAGTCGCGGTTGAAAAGAATCATCATCAGCATCCATCATCATCATCATCTACTAATACCAACTCTACCAAACTCATTCGTTTAATACATCACACCTCCAAATCAACCACCAACCTCAAACCATCACCATGAAGTTCACCGCTGCCATCCTCTCCCTTGCCAGCATGGCTTCCGCTATTACCGTCAGCTACGACACTGGCTACGATGACGCCAGCCGCTCCCTGAACGTTGTCTCCTGCTCAGACGGCCCCAACGGTCTCATCACCCGCTACGGCTGGCAGACACAGGGAGCCATCAAGGGCTTCCCTCACATCGGTGGATACCAAGGCATTCCCGGCTGGAACAGCAACCAGTGCGGTACCTGCTACGGCGTCACCTACAACGGCAAGACCATCTACGTCCTCGCCATCGACCACACCGGCGCTGGCTTCAACCTCGCCAAGGGTGCTATGGACGAGCTCACCAACAACCAGGCCGCTTCCCTCGGCCGCATCGACGCTCAGTACTCTCAGGTCGCTCTCAGCAACTGCGGTCTCTAAGCGTTTTCGCCCGCTTTTCTTCAGCATGACATGGAGGATCAAACACACGACGACAAAGCATATCTTAATGTTTTTTTTTACCGATAATCATTCCTTGTGAATATTCGCATAGCGTTTTGGATTTTATATATAGAGCATGAGAGATGGCGTTTATAGCACACACTCCTTAATGACGTAATGCAAAAGCAATTGAAAGACGAGCTTTTTGACCTTCTGTTTGATTCTTGAAGTACATGCTGTGCCTTGTGAGATGATCGGTGATGAGCAGTGTTGGGACGTGGTGTTCTGCTTACTGAGAAAGTTTTCCGACTCAAGGGGCACGAGCTGACCTTGGGTTTGACCGAATGCTTCTCCGAGGATGGACTGTCGGTGAAACCTGGATAATCACTAACAGGCAGTCCGATGAAAACCACAAAGACGAGGACCTGTTTAATTTTGGGTGGCACAGAAGAAGTGAGCATGGCCTTTCGTTCGTATGTAAGCACTTGATGGTGACAGGAGAAATGTTCAGTAAAAAAAGCGTATCGGTCTGAGGCCAGGGACTCCTGATCTCAGACGACGCGTAACTATATCTCTTTGATCCAGTAGAGTATACCATGAAGTACCCAGATGGTCATTGTACCATTGTCTCGAACAAGCTCAGTGACTACAACACCCCTAGCTCTGATTCTGGTACCAGGAATACAGTTTTGCGAAAGAAGAAAAGCAAAAGAAAGCGAACCAGAAAAATAAATCCCTCGCCTACATAATTCTACGCGCGTATGGTTCCTGTACCCGTTCGATCATCGTTCCGTACGTAGTAGTGCAACCTTATCTAGAATACTGTCTCTATCGAACAAGGCTCTCCGGTTCTCTGCCAAGGTTATTTGGAAACCTTTGCACCCCGAGTACTAAATCAATCCAATGTATCAGTACTGTGACGTCGCAATATTCGTTCGTCTTTACCCAAGATTACTATTTGATGAATATATCATTCAGTCATATGCGAAAGATTTGTTAATCGGCTGGAAGTTGACCAGGCTCCTAAGAAGTAAACTTATGTGTAAATCAGCCGTTGAATTGATCGTGAACATAACAATGTCTGGTTCTTGTATCCAGTCTTTTATCTCACTTCCATCTTCTCAAATCGCTCAATTCCTAATCGTCATTGCTTCCCCCGCCCTCCAACGTCACCTACTTGTACAACTACACAACGATCAGATCCAGAACCTATCCCTCATATCCAGATCGTCACTTCTTCCCCCCACTCCAAACGTCACCTACCTAAATAGATATCCAGCGACCCGATCCAGAACCTACCTCCAATCCCCACCTACCCACCCAGCCAACCAGACTTGTCATTAAGCAAACGCGTTTGAATAGTTTGTTTGATTTGCTTGACTATAAGCAAATTAAACAAACCAAACGCTGCCTATAGAAATATACAAACAAATCAAACGTACGATCGAAATTTGTTTAGTTTGTTTGACTGTTTGACTAATATTACATAGCGAGCTGTTCTATAGATGATGTCCTAAGGTGCTTTAAGATCGACTTTAATGATGTTTTTGAGATAGCGGAGGTAGCAATTTCGCGATAGTTTTCTTGTGTTGCATCTAGCTTAGTCATCATATAACTACACGAGCGTCGCTAGCCGTCGATGACCGCTATCTTATATCCCATCTCCCATCTTCTATATCGCTGTTAGCCATCTTTTGCAGCTACACTACCGTCTCTACAGCACGTTTTAGTGTTTCTCGTTGCCCAACACGCCGAAAATGCCGCTTCGTAACCTAAAACGCGCCGCCGAGGGCACCCCCGGCCCCCACGGCCCCCACAAGCGCGCCAAAACAGCTAAAGGCAGTGCATCGCAGCCTATCCTGATGGACGATTCGCAGCCTGAGCTGTCTATCCGCACCTCGCCACGTAAAGCCCTAGCTGCTGCAGCAAGCCAGGCCACCGAAGACGCGCCGTTCGAGTCGCAGTTGCGCGACGCTATACCAGAAGCTACTATACAACCGCCGGCCGAGGGTAGTAGGGCTGCTACGGAGGCTACAAGTGAGGCTATCGAAGGCGGGGATGATACTGGCTTTGATGACGAGTTTACGGACAACTTTGACGGCATTGATTGGAAGCGTTTACCGCGTTTTACGAAGCCGCTGCGTACGTTGAAGCGCAACAAAAGTTGGGTATATCAGTACGGTTACCGCGTTGCCTCTCTCCGTGAGCCTCATCGTACGTTCTTTGTTTGCAAATACTGCCATCATCGTAAGATCTTTTGCGCCTATCCAGAGGTTACAAAGTCGACCAGTAACGCTATCAACCACCTCGCGCAGAAGCTACTTGGCCACGGCTACGATCGCAAGGGCAAACTGGATTCGATTACACTACCGCGAGGCCAAACGACGCTTAAGATGATGACCGAGGGCGGTGTCGATGTACCTCAAGGCGTCGCTAACGAGCTCGGAAACTTCGACGTACAGCGCTTTCGATACGCCGTTGTTACGTGGCTTGTCGACAATAATTACCCTCTCCGCGAGTTCGAAACGCCTGCGTTTAGGCAGATGATAGAGTTTGCCAACCCGGAGGCAGCTGACGCGCTGTGGGTAAGTCACAACAGTGTAGCTAGCTTCGTGATGAGGCTGTATCGCTATATGGAGCCGCAGGTTGTTCAGATGCTCTCGTCGGCTATTAGTAAAATCTGTTGAGAATACAGTCCGTAAGTGACTTGGTGGTATCAAGCGGAGGAGTAGTCACATGATTGGTGACACGTGCAGGTGGGTCCTAGCGGGGAGCTTGGACGCAGCTGCACGCAACACGGATCTACGAACGTGTGAATAGCTCCTTAGTCAATACAATACGAATCTGTACCACCACTACCGTTGTGCCTTAGAGAGCGCTCTATTAGGTAGTCATACTACTACTAATAGTGCCAGCTTCTCAATAAAATCCATATAAGCTTCGATGGCTGGACGACAAAAGGCGGCAAGCGCGGCTTCTTTGGAGTTGTTGCTCATTTTGCTGACGCCGACGGCACTATCAGGGACCTACCTATCGCGCTGCCTCAGCTTACGGGCGCCCACACGGGCGAGAGGATAGCTGAAGTTGTTGGCAATATAATCGATGTCTTCGGTATAACACGTAGCCAGCTTGGGTACTTTGTGCTCGACAACGCGTACGCTAATGACACCGCCGTCACCAAACTCGCCCAACGCTTTGAATTTACAGCAAGCCATCACCGCCTCCGCTGCGGCCCTCACACACTTAACTTAGTCGGACAGATGATTATCTTCGGCTTTGATAAGGACGCGTACGATAATGATCAGGACGAGCACAAAACAGAGGCAGCCTACCTACAAGAATGGCGGCAGCAAGGTCCGCTTGGTGTACTAATCGATATCATCAACTACATCCAAACACCGCAACAACACGATCTTTTTGCCGATTGCCAGCGCCGTGTTAACGCTAAGGCTCCCGACCAAAAGCAGGAAATACTCGAGCCGGTAAAGCCAGTCGTCACGCGCTGGAACAGCTTTCACGACACCTTTGTACGCGCCGCAAAACTCCATAACGCCGTTGATGAGTACGCCCAAAGCCACATCGAAAGGACGATGGGCGCCGACGCGTACGCGCGTAGCCGTAACAATAAGCTCACTAAAGTACCAGCTTGGATGAGATCTAATGGGCTTACGGCTGACGATTGGGCGGTAATAACCCAGTATATATCAGTGTTGGAGCCGCTAAAGGAGGCGACAAAACGGCTTGAAGCTCGCGGTAAAGCTGGCCGTTTCGGCGCGATATACGAGGTTATACCTGTCTTCGAAGCTGTACTTGCCGTGTACGAGCAGCTACTTAAAAACCACGAAAGCGTCGACTATAATGCCAATAGCGCGCCAGAAGATCACCTTCCTATCAACCTACGCGCAGCTTGGGCAAAGCTTAACGCGTATTACACTAAGCTCGACGAATCACCCGCATACTTTGCCGCTACCTGCCTCCACCCATACTACAAGAACTACTGTGAGAACAGCTGGCGCGACAAACCGAGCTGGCTTGAGGCAAACAACGCTGGGTTGAAACAACTTTGGGCGTTCTATAAGCCGCAAATACAGCGCCAAAGTCGCCCACCAGTGCGGCTCTCAAGTGGTATCAACGACGCCATCAACGCGCTCGTTAATGCGGAGCCTTATGGCATTGTTGAGGTGACAGAGATGGATGAGCTGGAGCGTTGGCGACGGTTTGAACTCCGCTGGACGCAGGAGCAGTTCGAACAAGGTAGTAATCCTGTTAGCTATTGGATAAGCCTACGCCCAAAGTATCCTAACCTAGCGCGTATGGCGATCGATATATTAACAATACCAGCCTCAAGTTGTGAGTGCGAGCGGCTGTTCAGCGAGCTCGGTGATTTATTAGAGCCAAGGCGACGCAAAATTGGGTCACAACTGCTTGCAGCAATACAGTGTATACGAAGCTGGCGCGACGCTGGCTTTAAGCCTCCATCTGATTACAACTCAGGCGATGTAACTGACGCTGAGGTAGCTGCAATATACGAAATATGCAAGTGGGACAGCGAAGCTTAGTAATATATACGATATACGATTAGATCAGCACCTAAACAGTATCAAATCTATCAAACTTTCAAACAAACGGCCTCCTAAAACACTATCAAACTAAACAACTCAAATACAATCTTAAGTTTTGTACAAACAAATCAAATCAGCGTCCAAAGTTTGTTTGATTTGCTTAATGACAAGTCTGCAGCCAACATATTTGCTTCCCCAACCTACCTAGCGCAAGTACCCCGACGTCACCTCCCCGATCCCCACACCCTCCCGCCTCATCCCTATCTCCCGATCATGCCGGCAACCAGCAGCAGACAGGTCTAGACCGCTCATCATACCTATCTCGGTAGGTTACAAGGGACGGTGTACAAGATCGATCGAGCTGGATACCCGATTCTGGTTTGTTTAGGCAGCCTACGTATTGTATATTACCGTGACAACACAAGGTAGACTGAGCAGGGAAGGACCATGTCGGTTTTGCTTCACTAGTCGAGTGACGTCAACGCTGGGGGTTAGCGGCGGGTTGTTCCATGACGCAGTAGGGTAGCGTTGCGATCACGCATAGAGCGGGTAGGAGATTTTGTAGGTTACGATGGTGTTGTCCTTGAAAATGGTAGAGTCACATGATTACACGAGAAAAGAGCTTTGAGTAAAGTAGATGGTGATGATGATGTGGTGATATTGCTTCATAGCCGTCTATCTATCTATCTACCTAACCCCCTCACCGTCCACCCATTGCACCTGTCATGATGCCACTACTTCCTTTGAGTCAACAAAGGGATCTAAACACACTTGATGGTATATAGCTGTGGTAAAAAGAAAACTCAAAACTTTTCGGACTGTGTGTGTGCGTAGCGAGGCTCGCGCGCCACAACAAAAGCTACGCCTGCATAGCAACAAGAGTATACACCGGCCGTGGTGATATATTGGAATAACACATGCGGGAAAATAATATGCCCCAAGGGTTTCTAACGGGGTGTTGAAGCAAGTAGTCGACCGAGACTTCCACTAGCGAATGAAGGCTCAGGGACGGGCGACTTTGCATAGACGATCTCGCCTTCAATGGTACTTGTCGAAGTGCTTGTCATGGAAGGCGACGACTTATGTGAATACGACTTCTTGGGACTTGAGTTGTTTGGACTTGATGGAGCCGTCACAGGTGTAACAAGATCAATCGACTTGGCGCCATACGAAGAACTATGTGACGGCTTGGTCCTTGGCGGAAGAGGTCGCGTAGTGGCAGGCGTGTATGGAAGCGAGTAGCTTACTGACGACGCGGGGGTATGCGACAGCGATGGGGCAGCGCTAAAGCTAAACTGCGAGGTGGACGAACGCTGATACCGGGGTCGGTAAGGTCGTGCAGCAGCCTCGGATGAGTAGATGGATGACTGGAACTTGCGAAGATAATTTGAAGCTTCCGAGTTGGAGCGCAGATAGTGTTCGTTGGTGTTATCGTCCGACGACATGTCGGAGAAAGCACATGATGATCGCTTTGACTCTGGTTGAGTGGGCGATCGCTGGGGTACAATGTCACGGAAGGCGAAATCGTCAAAAGAGAAGTTGGTGAAGGGGGTTGTAGGCGGTGAGTAGTGGTCGAAAGAATAGGTAAGGCTCTTCTCGCTGTCCTTCTTCTTGCAGCTGGACGTGCATTAGTATGATGATCAGTGCTGCAGGATTGCGGAGCGCATACCTTTCTGAGCAGTAGAGGACAGAATTACTAGGGACAATAATTTGCTTCTCGCAAACAGTGCTGCAGAGTAGTGTTAGTAGTTGTGCTCGAGGGGAGTGGGTGGCGACATACCAGTAGTTCAAGAAGCTTACGGCCATTGAGTCGTCGTCGTCGTCGTCGTCGGTTTTGGGGTAAGGAGCGGACTTGGAAGCAGCTTTGCTTCCGAGGGAATGAGTACGCTTTGACAGAGGCCGAGACGGCCGTGCGTGCGCAGGTTGCGACTTTTTGGAAGGGTGGGACTGATGCCGAACGTGATGCGTGGCCATTGTGGAGGTGGAAGAAGTTTAAAAGCCTCACTCAGGTACGTGTGCACGGTGCGCGATCGCGTTGCAGGATGTAGTAGGGCGAAGAAGCGGTGACACAGCCCGCCGAGCTACCTTGGAGCTGATATGACGGAAGGTTCGTGCGTGGCTTTGTTTAGAACGCCTTATCGCGTTGGGCACTACGCCAGGGTTTTAGCCAGGAACACTATGCTGCTATCGAGGTTACGCGGGAGATGCAAGAAAGCGTAGCATGGGTGGGAAACAGGCCAAAGAAGCCGAGGAAATATAGACATTAAACAAGGGACAGACAACTTACATCAAAGAGAATCGGGACGTGCGACGTCGGGAGGAAGGGCAGCAATGATAGCAATAGGGAGTGGGAGCACTGCAGCGGCGGTCCGGACACGATCTGCGACAAGGGCTTGCGAGTCGTCAATGTGGTCGACGTGAAAGAAAAGAGCCGAGTATTTCCAGGGTGAAGGCGGCTTTCAGCGGCAGTCGAACAAGCAATGTATCGGGAATTGATAACAACTGAGCGAGGGACAGTGGTCAATAAGTAATGACAGGCCCCGGCTGTAGCAAAAACCGAAGTGCACGGCGCGAGCAGTTCTAGAACGTTGGTCGACGACGACGGCCTAATTGCAAGCTTGCGCGTGTGGAGATGATTCGTGATAGCGATCACGATAGAGCCGCCGTTGATATCATTCAGCACGCCATGCGGTCCCCCACCCCGCAGCACCCATACCGGTAACGCCCCTCGATATGCACAAGCACATCCACCACGGTGCCTCCCTTTCAATCTAACTGCGATGCCATGAGCCGTGCAGCGAATTGCGGGAGCGCGCATGCACATGGAAACGACAACAAGGTCCACGTTCATCGCATTTGCATTTGCTCTTTGGTACGACGTGCAGCGAGTACCACACTATCCACACCTGTCCATCCGGGTGCGTATCAGTACTGCACCACCAGGACGTGGCTCCGTGTTGCGTGCGCGCTCAACACTATGAGGTCTTATTGCAAATGTCTCACAGCCTACTCAATCCGGTAACCCGCGCTTCCCCTCCTGCCTACTGTACCTTTGAGTCGAATCACGAGTCGAATCACACTGTGGCTCCGCGGACTCATGTCGGGTCGTCTCTTTGTGCACACATTGATACTTATCGCCAGTCGGCTTGCGAGCCGTCGTGCGTCGTGCGCGTCCCTGTCTATAATTCGTGACTCTGAAGCAGCGGCTTCTGCCTGAGCGACTTCATGACTGTGCATTACTAGAAGATGCGGGTCCCTTGCCCTCTCTACTGTACCTACTCCCGCAACTCTACCCTAGCTGCCGCGCCATGAAACAACCAACCAAAACCTCGACACCAACAACACTCACCGTCTCGACCATCGCAAATCGCCAAAAAAAACTTGTTAGGCCCGAAATACCTAAGACGTTTCCCGATCGCCAGAGGGCGTACCCGCCCACTAGCGCATAATGTGTCGGTCAAGAGATTTTTCTCCAAACCCCATCCATCTCAGACGGCAAACGGCTCAGCCTTGGCCTGGCCTTTTGTGATGCGCCAAATGTGGATCGGCGTCGAAGTAGGGTAAAATGGACCGCACTGTTGATGTTCAGGCACCGGTGGAAAATCAACTTGCTCGAACCCGAAGCTGTTCCGTCCTACCCCACAATAGTCAGCAGTAACTCACCGGATGTCGTAAAAACGGTTGATAAACAGGGTGCGGGGTACCCACTACACGCGTTCAAAAAAGTCTCGAACGTCTGCTCATTGCGAATGGTTGCGGATATGAGGACTTGTAGTCCCGCATTCAGCTCAAACAATTCCCACATGGTCGAGACCAAGCGGGGGATGACGCTCTTGTCGTATGTCTGTTACGCTGTCAACCCACTTCTCCACGACGATGCAATCATAACAGCTTACGACATCTGCTCCCAGAACAATATCTGGTACCTCCATGCCATAGTCTTCAGAGAAGGTTTTTACGTCAACAGGATACCCCCACTTAAGAGCCGCAGTACCGACTTGACACACACTTGTCTCATCGTCGACATCGAGACCGTTGAGAAAGAGATTAGTTTTGATGGCATCGACGACAGCCTCATCGCCATCGGTCGCAACGATGCCAGCGATGCCAAGGTATCTTGCGCACAGGATGGATAGCATGCCAGTCCCTGCACCCAGTTCGAACAGCCTTTTGCCACATACTGATGATCGGCCAGTCTCAGAAGCCAAGTAAGATCCAAGTAACAAAGCTGCTTCCCACGTCCTGAGACCCGTGGTTCCGGACGAGGAGATGACGGATCTCGCTTCCAGTAGCGTTACCGTACGCTCCATGGTGGCGTGAGGGAAAGCGTACGTCACAAACGCCTTTTGCTGTGCAGCGGCTGCCTCGGAAGGCATTTCAGCAACAAGGAGGCCAGTCATTGCTTCCATAAGGTCATCTGATATCTCCTATACACGGCAAGAAAAGCGAGGTCAGCACTAGCTGCAACAGGCTGTTTCCCGTAGATGAATTTGATAAAGTACATAGTCGAACTCGGCGAGAAAAAAAAGGCCAAAATGAAGAGATAGGAGACCATACATCCTCCTCAGGGTCAGTTATGGACCTCTCGAGTTTTGCAATAAGCTGTTTCAAGATCCTGAGCTGATAGCGATCGGGCGGCGGCGAAGTGATGTTGGCCATGTCGAACAAGTTGCTGAACAGCCATGACTGCACCTCAGGGGCCTTCAAAGTCGCATCATCAGGCCATGTCAATTGATTCGGCTCTACAAGCTGAAAGTACTGGCGTTGTAAGATACGCAACTGTGATGTGTTGGCCGGGTCGATCATGGCTTTGGAAGTTGACAGGACGATCTCCCAAGATTGCTGTAGGTTGCAGTAAGCTCAATATTTGTCCTGCCTTTACCCAAACCCCCCAAACTCCAGATTCTCTTGCAGGGCAAATGGCGACCACAAGCACGCTTACCTAATTTTGTGGCGGGGCGTCTTGGCAGTCTAAGCGAGGCAGTCGCACCGCCGACCGCCGACACGACGCACCGCAAATTCGACATCTCCATCCCGCCGCCAGCTAACCACAGCGAATCGACAACAGCAGGATCGATCTCTGTCCAGTACGTCCTTCCTTCACCGTACTCGCTCCTTTCGCAATTGTGAGCGACGTCTAATTCCGGTGCTGCAGGTCGAATCTATACACCATGGCCGACTCTCAAGTTACTCTGCGCACGCGCAAGTTCATCCGCAACCCTCTCCTTGGACGTCGTCAGATGGTCGTGTAAGTGCAGGATATAGCGGATCCGCTGTCGTGGAGGAATCAAGTCTGACGGGAATAATGCAGCGATGTCCTCCACCCCAACCGCGCAAACGTTTCCAAGGACGAGCTCCGCGGCAAGCTCGCTGAGCTGTACAAGGCCAAGAAGGACGATGTCTCCGTCTTTGGTTTCAAGACACACTTTGGTGGTGGCAAGAGCACCGGCTTTGCTCTCATCTACGACAGCAACGAGGCCATGAAGAAGTTCGAGCCCCGCTACAGGCTAGTACGATACGGCATGGCCACCAAGGTCGAGAAGGCCAGCAGGCAGCAGCGTACGTCTCCCGCGACCCCATACCTCGTCTTGTGGGCATGGCCATGGCTTGGATGGTACAATTGAAGGAGATATACTAACTGAAACCAACAGGCAAGCAGCGCAAGAACAGGATGAAGGAGTTCCGGGGTACCGCCAAGACCAAGGGTGGTGCGAAGAAGGACAAGAAATAAGCGGGTGCATACTGACGATGACTACGAAAGTCATGTCGCTGGGGTCGAGTGGCAGTTTCTCTGGGACTACTAGTTCGCCTATATGGTTTTTCATCATGGTGGACACGGAGTTGCTTCTGCGGGCATCGGCATGTATATCTACGATCGCCTGGAAAACTCTTGCGCATGGGACCGGATCAACAAGAACGGATGGCGTTTGAGACGAATTGTGTGCTAACCAGCAATGCATATCATGGACTTTACGATCCTGCAAAAACCGCTGTCGCTTGTTCCTGATTCCAAACTTCTATTTCCATCTTCTGTGTATATTCTCTGTCAATCTCGGAACTTTGCTCATTGGGCCGAAACCTTATCCGGGCACTATTTTGATAAATATGTTGTCCTGACATTTAGCTCGACTTGACAAATTCCCTCACCCCTCACACTAGCCCCTGATACTTGCCACTTGTGGTCTCAGGTTCTGGATTGCACCGGCCCAGCCCAAGTACTGACGATCACCAACTAGCACGGCCGGATATAACGTAGCATGGACTTGTTGATGTTGTCGTTGACACAGCTTGCATGTATTTTTTTTTCATTATAATTAATAATTGTTTCCGGATAGTTACTGATAGTGGTGTTTGTATAAAGTTTCCATCTAACGACACAAGCGCAATGCCTCAGCTAGGAGCACTAGTGTCCGTCTTCACCGGCACAGTAGTAGTTGGAGCTGTAGTCGTAGTGACAACAAGACTGTGATCTCTCCCCGCAGTCTGAGACTGACCATGCCCCTGCGTCTGCGCCTCACCACCAGCACCAGTCTGAGCTACAGTGGTAGCGGGTGTAGTGGGAGTAGACGGCGGCACGACCCTCTTCGGCGCCTGGGCCTGCGAAGTCGACATCTCCCAAAACCTCCGCGGCACATTCTTGGCCGGCGGCATACCCAGAAACCCCTTGCCGCCCATGCTCTCGAGCGGCTTCGCCCGCCCTCCAACATAGCAGCCCAAGTCACCACTCCAGACAAAGCCGCCGCCGACGACGCCCCTCAGGACGCCAAACGCGCGTGCATCACGGTACGCGATGCCCGTTTCAGGATCGCGGTACCGTGCGATAGAGTTTGTAATCGGACACAGTTTCTGCCCTGGTTTGAGCCCGATTTCCGCGTCTGGTTTGTGTGCCGCGTTCTTGCGAGGCGGTTTCGGAGGCGCAATGATTGTTTGGTGGATGTGTGATGTGGCTTCTGCGGGCGTCCAATGGAAGAGGGCGACGTAGAGCTGGACGAGAGCTGATTTGTCCTTGTCTCTAAGTAATGAGGCTGACATGCGGGAGCGCGACAAGGTTGGGGGTGGGGCCTCGAGGTTTGGGAAATTGGAGAGGATGAGGAGGTTGCGGAGGGCGCGGCGGATTGTTTTGCGGCGCGGTGGGGGAGGTGGTACGGCGGGTAATTGGAACTGGGCGAGGAGGTCCTGGGGGCCGATTGCTGAGCTGCTGGTGTTTGGGGGTATTGGTTGGTCGGTGTGGGGAGGATATGGTTGTGGATGTGGAGAGAAGGGCGGGTGGCAAGTTGGGTATTGCTGTTGGAACGGCGACGCCTGTGTGAACGGATTGGGAGGAAGTTCGGCCGGCGTGGGAGCGTACTGGTCGATGCCGTATAGGAAGCTGTCTTGGTTTGGTGGTGCAAACATGACATTACTTGATTGTGTCATGCCGTGAGAGCCCATGAACACATCACCACCCTGGGATGCTGCCGTGGTCCATGGGATATGTGAGGTCTCCTGCTGTGGTAGGGTTGCCGGTATTGCAGGCATTAGTGTTGAACTCATTGGGGGGTGGAAGGGTGCTAGAGAAGCAAATGCAGGTTGGCTGTCGTCTGTATGGTGTTCGGACGGTTGTTCAGGCTGGGCTGTGGAGACGTCGGGTTGTTCTGTAGTCGACTCTAGCTGAGTAGAAGGGTTGTCCACCTCCTTGTTGAGCTTTTCGTCGAGATGCTCCAAGGATGGGGCATCTTTGCCCGTGTACTTGAGCTTGTCGTCAACCCAGATGCCCGGCCCACTGTAGTAGCGATAGAAGGGCCCACCGATTTGACGGTTCTTCAGCGCATCAATCTTGGCCTGTCTTTCTGCCGCTCTCGCCTCTTCGGCCTCCTCCCATCTGTGTAGGGTTTTCTTGTTGATTCTCTCGTTGCGAGCAGCTTCCGCAAGTCTTTCGGCCTGGGTCAATGGCTTTTCCTTGGCCTTCATCTTGCGTGCCTCAGCAGCCTTCATCATGGCCAGAGTATCATCACGCCTCCGATCCTTCTCCTTGAGCTTTGCCAATGTGGCATCCTTGTTTGCCACCGTCTGCTTCCGTTTTGACATGCGCACTGGGCCGTCCTCTTCGGTGGGTAGCCATGATGCTCGTTCCGACTTCTTCTTTGGTCGTGGAGGGGCATGCGTGGGCGATTGGGTGCGGGGGACGTTGAGTTTGACCTTTTTGCGTGCGGCGACGGCAGCTCGTGCGGTGAAGGGGTTGGTTGCGGCTTTGCGCTTTTTGTTGCGCTCGTGGCGCTCTGCCTTGCGCAACTCCTTCTCCCCCGCGTCATCCTCGTCTGCGCCATCGTCGTCCTCTTCCGAGGATGACGAATCCATGTTGTAGTCCTCTTGCTCATTCACGTCGTCTCCTCGGAACTCTTCCTCGTTTGGCGCCTCCTCCCATTCCTCCCCCCACTCCTCTTCCTCGGCCGATTTGGCGAGCAGCGTGGCCATGCGGTTGCCGGCATTGGCTCTCCGCTCCCTCGTCTTGACCATGAGGTCGATGGGGGCTTCATCATCGCTCTCATCATGAGATGCCTCTGCCTCTGATGTCTCATCGCGATCCGAGGGCGGGGCGTCCTCCATGACGACCTCGGGTGGGTCCTCGGACATGGTGGGTGGTGAGAAAACCAACGGCAGGCGCGAGGATGCGCGGGGAAGGTGCAGACGAAGCGGCTAGCACCTGAGGCAACGCGAACGGGCTTGGGGCGGGGAACGTCTTCCACTCTTCCAGAAGGACTCCATGAGACACGGATTATGCGCTCCAAGAACGGTGGAGTAGTTGAAAGGCCAGACTGCTTGTAGCGCAAGGGGCATGGGCCTTGTGCTGTGTGAGGTCCGTTATGCACAACCGGCACCTTGGGTTTCAGCGGCGGTTGGAAAAGGTGGCAATTGTGTTTGTCGGACGCAAACGGATGTCAAAGTGTCGAGCACGCGCGTGTGAATGACGCGCCGGGCGATTGAGATTGAGAAAGCCGCCAAGTCAGCGGAAAATGCTTGGCCTAGCTCTCCGGGCCTGAAACATAGCGTGCGTATGATTGATGGCTATGGAGCCAGCCCCAAGACTATGCCCATTAGGCCGGTTAGGAGCACATGTCACGTATGCAAGAATGCAGGATATTGGCACGCCCGCAACGTCAGCCTCGTGTATACTGCATTGCAACAAGCTCATGGTCAAGTTGCACACGGTGGCATCTACTCGCGACTACTATAGACTGCATTGCTGCCTGTGTTTGAATTTGAACCACGGCTCGATCCGCATGCAGGACCCCCAACCGCACAATAATCCCGTCTTGAGCACGCGCCAGCCAATCACAGCCGGCAGCCGGGTAGAGGCACACAAGTGTCCACGTCAGGCCCTGAGGGACCGACTTTGTCCACGCGCCTCTGCGTTTCAGACGTTGGGGGGGCATGCGGCGTAGAGGACAGAAGGGCAGGCCCGCAGGAGGTAGCTGAATCTGAATTGGCCCCTGAAAGCTTCGTCGCCGCTGTACAAAAAGCAAAGCACGGCGGCCGAGCGAGGCAAGAGAGAGAGAGAGAGAGAGAGAGAGAGAGCTCGTTTCCCCTCTCTGTGTGATTCCCAGCCTGTCATCTTACTCTTGCGTTGAACAGCTTGCCCAGGTGTCCTCTGCAGCCAACAGCCAACGACCGACCATCATCGCCGTACCCCCAGCTCTCGAGCCTCCGTCCGTAACCTGTAACGTGCTGGTTCTGGCTGCTGTCCCCAATCGAGCCTAGACGCCCGTGTCCTGGCGTGTCCCCATTTCTAGCGGAAGCGAGCCTGAGCATCCACCGCGCATCTCCCACTGCTCATCATCCCTCATCGCTTCTCGCTCCCCCTCCCGCCACCGCTGCCCGCTGCGATCTTTAGCTATATCGGTCTCTCTATGAGCTCGAATGCTTAATCGGCCATCTGTCTAATCCCTATTCCTTCTGTTCTCCAGGCACTCCGGTGATCTGTCTATTCCGCCCGCCTGCTGTACAGTTCAGTCCAGTCCAGTCAGTCAGTCAAAAGTACCGTGTAATCCACCGCTCGTGTCCCAATTGCGGCCAGCCGCATCCTGCAGTCACTCCTTCTCGGCTTCTCCAACCTTTTCCCGCCGGCACACCCCCTCGGTACCCGCGCTTTTGCTGCTCGCAAGCGACGCCATCTCGTGCTAGCTTGCAACCTCGCCCACCATCCGGACTGGATCCAACGCCTGCTCGTTACTGTCGACAGCGTTCATCGTACACACTTCACTGCAAGGCGCTGAGCTGAGTCCGGTCTTGCTGGCAATAATCCCCTCTGCCTCACATTCCTTTGGCCGGCACCAACCTGCGATTCTACCATTACCCTGGCTTTGGTAACCGAGTCACTACGACTATTCTTCCTCAATTAGACTATCGCCGACAAGACAGGGTCTGTAATCCATAATGGCTCCGACCAACCGCCCCGAGCATCACATCAACCTCAACTACATCCCGCAGCTGCCCCAACCCCCGCACTCGGCCTCATCCACCGGCAACACGTCGCCCGTCGAGCCCCCCAACAGTGGTTCCCTCCGCTATGCCCCCAGTGCCTCGAACCCCCTTGGTGCGGCTGCTGCCGGCGCCAGGCTGGGAGCTGGATCCCCGTCGCATGAATATGGCAGCAGACTCTTTTCCAAACGGTCCGTCGCATCCTGAAACGAGCAACGACTCGAGCTAACTCATGACAGTGCACGCGAGATTCAGGCACAGGAGGGTCTGACTCCTCAAATGTGGGGTCCTCCTACGAGCGGCAACTCGACTCCATTGCGTGAGACCATTCCCGAGTCTCCCAACAGCGAGAACCTCAACTTCCCCGACTTCAACAACGCCATGCCAGAGGTCGCTCAAGCTGCGCCCTCGGGCCGCCGTGCCCGCGCCGGCACTCTCCCTTCACGCTTCTCCCCCTCCGCTGCCCCTCCCGGCCTCATGTCCGGTGCATCGCTCCTCCCCAAGAGCTCGCGACCAACACCCTCCACCAGCCCCTTCAAGCCGGGCCCCGGAACACCAACCGACACTTCCAGCTTCAATGCCCTCGGTTCTACAAACGCTGCTGCAAAGTCCGCGCTGCTCTCGCGCCTGCGTGCTGGCTCTATGCCCCAGCGACCGGGTTATCTCCCACCATCCAACTCGGCCTTTGGCAATCCAATCTTCTCCAATGGTTGGTCAAGCAACCGTGACCGCAGCAGCACCCTTCAGAGCATTGCTTCAATGCCATCAAACGGAGCTGGTTCGCCCAGGTCTTCCTTCTCCCGGGACTCTCTTGCTGACACTGACGTCAAGACACTCGACTACCTTGGTCTAGTCGATACTCCTCAGCCTGCACGAGCTACCTTGGCTCCCTCAGACATTGAGCTTTTGCTTGAGAGCCAGAGGAACGCCAACAACCAGAACTCGAGCAGCGGCAACCGCTTCCGTTCATACTCTGTCAACGCCAAAGAAAAGTACGCCGAAGACGAGGAAGATCAATATGGTGGATACAGTGGCGCCATCACGCCTGCTGAAGCGAATGCTCTTCTCATCCATGAAGCTGTCCGCCAGCACAACCTTGAAGTGCAGGCCTTTGCCAACCTTGCATCCAACGCACGCCCTCGTGCGCGTACTGCCGGTGTGCTAGACGCCCCTTCGCGAGGCATGATGCGCAATTACTTGCCGGCCATGGGTCGCTTTGACAATGGCATGGGAGCCGGTGATCTGACTGAAGATGCCGAATACAGCTTGACTGAAGCAGTCAAGAAGCTGCATTTGCCTGGCAACAACTTGGGTGATGATGGAACTTTGGAGGGACCCACTCGATCCCTGTGGCTTGGCAATATTCCCTCTTCGACCACGGTTTCGTCGCTCCAAGTCATATTCGCCCAGTACGGTGCTATTGAGTCCACGCGAGTGCTCACGCACAAGAACTGCGGTTTCGTCAACTACGAGAACCTTGAGAGCGCTGTCCAGGCAAAGTCGACTTTGAATGGAAAGGAAATCTTCCCAGGCGCTGGTCCCGTACGTATTGGTTACGCCAAAATCCCAAGTGCAGCAGCCACGCCTGGCCACAATGGTGTCTTCCCTTCACCGAGCCCGGACCCACTTTCCAAGACTCAGGCTGAAGGCTCTGCTGGAACTGCTACCGCCACCAAGCTGAACAGTGCCCCTGCCAACGTACCTCTGACCACTCCCGAACTCAGCGACATTCGCGACGACATCATCCAGATCGTAAAAGAGCTGGGTGCTACTGATGACGAGCAATCGCGCATCACGACCAAGGTTGAGAGAGCGGTCCAGTTCAACAACTACGTCGACGAGATCCCCTCAGTCGAGGAACCAAGCCACACCCGTATCCACGATGCTCCTAGACTGCGAGAGATCCGCAAGCGCATCGACAACGGGTCTTGCTCCAAGGAAGACATCGAGGGCATCGCCACGGCCATGATCCCCGAAATTGCCGAGCTTTCTTCTGACTACCTTGGTAACACTGTTGTGCAGAAGCTTTTCGAGTTCTGTGAGGAGCCTACCAAGGAGGCAATGCTTCGTGAGATTGCTCCTCATCTTGCCAAGATTGGTGTGCACAAGAACGGAACTTGGGCCGCTCAGAAGATCATTGATGTCTCCAAGTCGGAGACTATGCAGAAGATGGTTGTAGATGCTGTCCAGCCCTACGCCATGGCTCTCTTCCTCGACCAGTTTGGCAACTACGTCATGCAAGGTTGCCTCAAGTACCAGCAGTTCAACAGCTTCATCTTTGAAGTCATGCTGGGCCGACTCTGGGATCTCGCTCAGGGCCGTTTCGGTGCTCGTGCCATGCGAGCTTGCTTGGAGAGCCACTATGCTACCAAGGACCAGCAGCGCATGGTGGCTGCTGTCATTGCCCTTCACAGCGTGCAGCTTGCAACCAACGCCAATGGTGCCTTGCTCTTGACCTGGTTCCTTGACACCTGCACGTTCCCGAGGAGGCGCACTGTGCTGGCCCCTCGCCTAGTTCCCCACATTGTCCACCTCTGCACCCACAAGGTCGCCTACCTCACCGTTCTCAAGATCATCAACCAGCGAAACGAACCAGAAGCTCGCGACACCATCCTGCAAGCACTTTTCTTCTCGCCAAACGACCAAGTGCTGGAAAGCATCTTGGCCGATCAGAACTGCGGTGCCACCCTCATTTTCAAGGTGCTCACCACACCTTTCTTCGATGAACAGATTCGTGCAGATGTCGTGCAGAACGTACGCAATGTTCTGTTGCGCATCAAGGCACAGCCTCAACAAGGCTACAAGCGCCTTATGGACGAGGTAGGCCTCTCTACCCGTGGAGGGCCCGGTGCTCGTGAGCACTCCGCAACCCGCCCAGCATCAAAGGACAGCACCGCGTCTGGACAACCCAACCCCGGGAACTTTTACCAGGGTCCTGTTCCTAGCTATGACCCTGTCGCCCTCCAACGCACGACTAGCATGGACTCCAACGGTTTCGATCAATACCCGATGGGCGGTGGGCCAATGTTCATGCCAAACATGGCTGCCATGAACAACCAGCAGCAGATGCAATATCAGCAACTGTTGGCCCGACAAGGCCAGTTCTATCCTCCGATGAACGGCTTCCAGCCTCCAGTTCCCGGCATGGACGCTTATCGCACCGCTTCGCCAGTTGCAGGTCCTGGTAGCTACAACGGCTCACCAATGATGCAACCAGCCAACCTCGCTGGCCAAGGCATGCCCGGCATGTACCCGCCCTATGGCATGTACATGCCACCCCAACACCAACAGGCTGCTGGGGGCAACCAGCGCCGTGGCAGGGTAAGCAGAAATGCATCCCCAGCGACAAGTGTTCGCCGTTAACATCTCTTCAGAGATAAATGTTTTCCCACTTTGACGCTTTATCTTGGCTTAGATTTATTGTTAAAAGGAAGCAAAATTATCTTACTGTATATGATTCGGGTCTTGAACTACGTTTACGCATTTGCTATTGAGCATTCTGTAAAGTGGTATGCATTTAGCTCCCATGTTTTTCCTTGCTGTCTATCGATCTCACGATTCACACGTTGGTCTTCGATACGACATTCATCTTGTCACTCGCTTACACATATCATTTCGGTGTTCTGGGGGGAGTTTACCTTTTTTTTCCAAGCAAACGTTCTATGACATTTTCCGAATTGCACGGTACTTTTCGATGCGGTCAGGGTAACGACGGACTGTATCGATATGAAATGCGCTGTACGAAGGAGATTTTCTTGGTGGGGCCACGACATGTATGCGAGAAAGAAGGCGAGAGAGCGAGAAAGCGCAAAAGTTCTTCTAGAATTGTGGGCATGATCTGGGATCTGGGAATCTTTCGTTGGAAGCTCTCTGGGTTCTGTGTTTCTGTATGGATGATATGCAGGCATGGGCCTAGGGCCGAGAGCGATTTGTTTGGTAGAATTGACAGTGCTTTTTTGTTGAACCATACGTGCATTCTTGTGACTGTCTTTGTTGATGTGATGAAAGAAAGAGGAGCTGCTACATGGAGTCATTATTTGTTGGACTCACAGTCTGGGTCAAGTCTTGTGTGCAAACACCAACAGGTTCTTGATCTGTTTGCACCAGCTCTTGATTCCACTCCTACATACCAAGATTAGCTGTCCTTCTACGAACTCTACATTTTACAAACTCATACAATTAGGGAAAATACAAGTCGCTCCAATAATATGCCACCTACCATCACCACCTCACCGGTCACCAGAAGACTTCCTACATACATGACTCCAAGATCCGAAACAGTATGGCTGCATCTGATAGCGCACATCTCCGAGGGAAAGAAAAGACCGATATCATTCGGTTACACGAACGCTGCCAGCATAGCCCAGCATGTCGAGCGGCTAAAACATCACTACGGAAAGAACAAGGTTGAAGATTGTGTCTGGTGTCTGTTTTCAGAGTCTTATGGTCTTGTCTTTGCTCCATCCCGGTTTAAGGATGCTCAGAGGAACGACGGGGAGGGTGAGTATCATGTCGTTGACCAGGGGGGGGGGGGGGGGGAAGTTGGTCGATGAAGGGGATTGGGAAGAGGGTGGGGAGCATGAAGGTAGTGGTGTTGAGATTGTTGAAGAGATGTGGGTTACGAAGAAGAGTGAGTGGACGTTGACTGAATTGAAATGATTTACTTACAGTGGGGTAGTATATACAGCTATGCTAGCTGCGGAGGAGCAGATGGAGATGGACATACAGGTAGCTACGCTGACGGTGGGAGAGGGGGAAGAGGAAAGGTCTGACATGAAGAAGCTGGCTGAGGGAGTGGATGAAATGTAAATTGTATCGACCAGCAAGTTGGCTTGGAAGAAATGCAAGAGAATGGGGAGACTGTTGAGTCATAGAATTTGTGTTTGTCTTGTCAGAATCCAGACATCGTCATGTGTCAATGTTCTGTATAGTGCATAAGCGCTTCCATCATGTGAAAAAACGCGCAAATTCCAGATGTGTCTCAGGCATAGAGAAAGAAGGCTGAGCTATGGCGTCCCAGATTATCGCGATAGGCTGGCAAGACTGCATTCGTCGTGGTACACTCGTAGCCAACCAAATGCAGCGCCACAAGCTTCAGCTGCATGTGCCCCCTCACCAGGCTGCCTTGTTTGTGTCAGCCTCATGAAGTGAAAGTGAACAAAACACCTTGATTACCATCTCTTCCTCGTCAACAATTCATTGAAATTCTAGATCCACAGAAATTCATCCACAGCTCAACCCACCACAACCACAACCATGAACGCCACCCAACCCCTCCTCGACTGGATAGCTGCGCACCCCTACCAAACCGCCTTCCATGTCGTAAACGGCGTAATCCTTCTCACACCCGCCGCCGCCACGATCCCCTTCTTCAGTGCCTTGGGATTGAGTGCTGGAGGTCCTGTTGCAGGTAACGTTGTTCTCCCTTCCCTTCCCAAGCTTCATAAATACCTACACATAACATCTAGTCAAATCAACCCCTCTAGCTACCTACCTCTTTAGCGCTAACACAACGACTTCCAGGCTCCACAGCAGCAACAATCATGAGCTACTTTGGCTGTGTACCTGCAGGCGGTATCATTGCCACGGCGCAGAGTGCGGCTATGGGGGGTTATGGGGCTAGTATTGCAGCTGGAGCGGCACAGGGGGCAGCGCTGTTTACTTCAGGTGCGGCTTGGTTGATGGGCAGGAATGGAACGACTTGATGGACTGGAACAGAGAAGGAATGAGCCCTAGAGATGGGGGATTGGGGAAAAGGAGTTGGGATTATGGTGTCAGCAGGGCGGGCTTTGTCGGATAAGACCAATGATGGTGTTACCGAGGCTCGGTTGCTGCTGCTGCTTCCTTCACACCCCAGCCATCTCACGTTTCCAAAATCAATGACAAAGACACGCGTAGACTTTCTTGTTTGACTTATCAGTTCGGCGCCCCGCATCTGCCTAGATTCAAAATCACAAAAACCTCAAAAATATTCATATAAAGTACAAGACAGAGACATAGATAACAACTCGCCGAAACCCTCAACATTCGCCCTACCCCAATAGAAACACCACAGTTGGACGAAAACATCCCAAAACCATGTCCTCAACACAACCACCACCAACCCCCCTCTCCGACTTCCAAAAAATCGGCCACAACACCTACCTCCATACCCCACCCACCTACCACGCCAAAAATGCGGCCCAAACCCCACCACCCCTCATCCTCCTCTTCACCTGGAACGCCGCAGCCGCAAAACACATAGCAAAATACACGCTAACCTACCAATCCCTCTTCCCCACGTCGCGCATCCTACTCATCCGCTGCTTCACTCAGGACATATTCCGGTCCAGCGCCGCCTACGCCACTTTACTCACTCCAGCACTTGATCTCGTAGCCGAGCACACAGGGTCAGGCGGGGAGGTCCTGGTGCATAGTTTTTCCAACGGAGGCGGCAATCAGCTCAATGAGTTTGCGAAGGCGTGGAAGAGGCGGTTTGGTGGGAAGATGATGCCGATGAGAGTACAGATTATGGATTCTAGTCCCACAAAAGCGCCGTGGATGAAGAGTCATGCTGCTATTTCCGCCGGTTTACCCAGGACGCTTTTTTGGAAGTGGTTTGGTGGGGTATTGGTGCATTTGCTGTTGGTGTGTACGTATTTGGCGGACTTTGTGATGCGGAGGGAGAATAAGATGGTGGTGCTTTGTCGGCAATTGAATGATGGGGATGTGTTTGATAAGAGGGTGCCGAGGGTTTATTTGTATAGCAAGGCGGATCAGATGGTGGGGTTTGAGGAAGTAGAGGAGCATGCGGAGGAGGCGAAGGCGAAGGGATGGGAGGTGGAGAGGGTGGTTTTTGAAAAGAGTGCGCATTGTGGGCATGTTAGGGAGGACGAGGGGGGGTATTGGAAGGCGGTTCTGGGGGCTTGGGAGAGGGGGAGGAAGGAGATTTAGATCATAGATGTGTGTTTGAATGGATTTCACGCTGTATACCATTACGTTGTTTTATGATATGCGATGCGGAAGTAGATTGTATTATACAAGCATCTTTCTACAACCGAGCCGCTACCAACGAGAGGTAGATATTCCATAGCAATCCGCAGAAGCTAAGGAAAACGATACGACGTTCGACGGGGATATAGGTCGTGCTGAAGAAGTTGGCAATGGGCCAGACTTTGTATGAATCGAAGATGAGACCGAACAATTCCTGTCATAACATTAGCTTTTGCTCGTAAATAACCAACCAGCATGAGATAGAGCCATTCGGCAAAGTTCAAGACAAGTACTCACATTCCTGAAATCCTGTACAATCAACGCCACAGTCTTCCCCTTCATAATCCCAATCAAGATCAAGAACATGGATTGGTTCAACAACGCGCCCATGGTAATACACTACATCAAACATCAAAATTAGCCCATCATCCACACAAATATCTTCTCCCATCAGAAGACAGTCAACTCACATCAGTAAACCACTTCCTGAAAATGTTCCACCAATTCCTCACCCTGACCTCCTCCTCCACCACCGCTCTCCCGTCCCCATCCTCACTCAGCATCATGCCCTTTTCCTCTTCATCCTCGCTTACACTCCTGATTATCTTCTGCGTCGTCCACCCCGGAAACGCGCGCTCCAGCCAGTTCTGCCAGTGGTAATTGACAGGTGCTGTCAACACGACCATGATTGCGAATTGAATAAAGAGCACGCGGTCGAAGACAAAGGGCTTGGATTCATTCCATGCTTTGAGGCGTTGCGCGATGATGTTGCTGCAGGAGTCGATGGCGAGGGCCGAGAGGCAGGCAATTGCTATTGGGGGTAGTGGCATCGTTGCGGTTCGTGATTGTTTCGTAGGAGAGGTGGTCAGGTCACGGTTACGAGTACGGCGGAGGTGGAGATGGAGGTGGAAGTGTGAGGTTTAGAGGAAATGTACAATCGAGGGGCGCCTGATGGTCGTGTTGGCGACGACGAGGCTCCTAAGATAAGTTGTTGGGGATCAGCGCAGGGTCTGGTAAGCACCAAGTGTGCCTGACGCGTTGCGCCAAATTGTGGTAGCTCTCGACGTGGTGAATGTTTGGCGTAAAGAAGCTAGTGGGTAGGAATAGGAGGAAAGAGCGTTCGAAGATAGGCATTCGCACACATTTCGATCAGCCTTGGCGAGAATTGCGCGGCGTTGTTGCGATAACCGCTTCACATTTTGGTGTTGCGGTCCCGCGTTCGGGATATCTGCGGCCGAATCAGATGGTGGCGAAAGGATGAGGCGGCCTGACTCAAGAATGTCGAGGATAGGTAGTTTTAATTTTGTTATGTCTTGCTAAGGCTGCCTAGTATATCGGTTATAGCTTTTTATGTGTTTAAAAACATAGCGACAGGTATGGTTGATGAGAATAGAGAGAGAGAATTTAATAAGATATTAATCGCTTGTGAACTTCTGCTCTTCAAGTTACAGCTTACGGCTCAAACACTACTAACATACTACCCGGGAAAAGAACTAACTAACTTTACAAATATCAAAGAAATCTCAATTAGACAGAATGGGCATGCCCATCAACGGCCTTTGCCCACCTTTTTCACCTTCTTCTTTACAGGCTTCTTTGTAGGCTTCCTCTTCGCCTTCTTCTTACAGTCATCATCATCACTATCATCCGCCTTTCTCTTCTTAGATGGCTTATAAGAGTCTGCGCTATTAGGCTCCTTCCCTTTCTTTGTCTTCTTCTTATTCTTTCTCTCCTCTCCACTGCTGTCTTCGCTAGTGCCGTCTTCACTACCGCCTCCATAAAGAGGTGTAGGCGTCCTTGTTAGGTCGCGTGGCCTTATAACCTGACGACCACTTCTAGTTGTAGCTACAATCTGAGGTGGAGGTGCAGGTGCAGGTGGATGAGGCGTTCGCACGGGCTGTTTTCTTGCGGGTTTCTTTGGTGGTGGCTGAGGCACTTCTTCAATTGAGCTTTCACGGTCTGATTCATCACCACCATTAGCACCCGATGGACTCCCTTCAGGGGTTGATCCTTGAGGTCCCTCAATTGTCGGTATGATATCGGACGTGGGATCAGTTGGGGTACTTGTGGGATCCTCGCCACCCTTCCCGTTGTTGCGAGCAGCTTTAATTCGCTTAGCTTCAAGTCTGGCAGCTTCAGCTTCAGCTTCAACTCTAGCAGCTTCAGCGATCCTGGCAGCTTCTTTGCGAGCCTCCTCCTCTTTGCGAGCCTTATCTGCAGCCACTTTAGCAAGCCTAGCTGCTTCAACAGCTCGTGCCTTAGCCTCCTCCGCTTCGGCGCTCTGGGCTTCAATAGCTTTCTTTTCTTCCTCCGCTTTCTCCCTTGCGGCGGCTTCTCTTTCCTCTGCAGCCTTTAAAGATTCTACAGCTTTCTGTATTTCTGCGGCTCTTTTTTCCTTAGCAGCCTTCTCACTAGCAGCCTTCTGGCCAGCGACTCTCTTGACTAGTTTGGCCTTCTGCTCAGCCAATCTCTTTGCCTCATCAGCTTGTATCTGGGCTTTCTTCGCTTCAGCTGTTTTCTTGGCTTCGTCGGCTTTCTTCTTTTCCACAGCAGCATTTTGGTCCGCTAGCGACGTCTGGTATTGCTCAAGATTCACAAGATCCACTCCATTTCTCATGTCACGTTCTGGGTCAGACTCTGTGAAGACTGTACCTGGGTCGAAGCGATTCATGTTTGTTTCCAACCTGCCCCTTATGGCGTCGATTACCGTCGAATCCTGCCTTACTCCCGTTTGATTGGTCCCTGGAGCTGGATTATTTGTCACACCATGGAGATCATGGACGATACCATGCATTTGAGCGGTCCATGTTGTTCGGGCAACATTGTAGATGTGGCGACCGTATTCATCTTGCAGTCTGCTTCCGATACCTTCAGAAGAAGGTATTGTTGGGTTAGTAGGAGCATAGACACTCCGGGCTGAGACTTCTGACCGGAGTCGGCTCTCCCGTTGAGCTGCAGAGCGTGCTGTTTGTGCCATCCTTTCGAACTCTTCGCGTTCTCTCTTCTCCTCTTCTTCTTCTTGTTTTTTCTTCTTCTCTTCTGCCTCTTTTTTCCTGTCTGCGTTGCTTCTTGAAGAATTAATATACGCTTTTTCCTATTAGAATGATGGATTACTAACTTTTTCTGGCCTTTTCCAGATTGACCCTCGTTGGGTTCATCAACATCATACGCTCCTCTAGTCAATTCTATCACTTCCTTCTGCGCGATTGGTAGATACTTTTTCTAAGTTGACCATGATGTTAGTTCAGGCACTTACGATACACGGAAGCGCAATTCAGTCCGTAAAGGATGGTGCAAAGAAAAACACTAGCTTACCCAGGTCCTTCGAACAAAGCGGCCAACAGGCCACATCTTTTGCTGTGAACTATGGGCATGAGCTTGTACAGGGCCCGCATGGTACTCAAGGTCTTGACGAGTCTGTAAATGTCCTTGTTCGTCTGCATACCTAGACATTTCCCAATTGAACCTGGGGTTAATAAGCTTGGCAAGCCTCCAACTGCGCACTTTATCAAAAGAGACAGGCATGCGCACGTTCAGTTCAGTTAGGTTAGTCAGTCGTGGCGCACAAGCGGCCCAGAACCTTTGCCAACCTAAGGCTTCTCGATCATTTGCAGCGCGGATAGAAAGCTGGTGTAGGGTTTCGGAGGCAGCACAGTTGGCCTCTGGATGATCCGAGCGATACTCGCCTGTAGGAGGATATGGTGGAAGATTGCTGGCTAGTGGAAGATAACACATCTTCGCAATCGGCTGTTTGTTTGCCGTGTTTTGAGCGTTGAGTTTTGTTGCACATGGCGGCCTGGAATTCCACTGCAATTGGAACGGGCAGTCGTTGTTGTCTCCCCAGGGGCAGACGGGTCGAGGACATGATGCATCAGGGCCCTCATACGGCTGTCGCATCTCGATAACTTCTAGGCAGTTTTGATCCAGTGGGTTTCGGAGATCATAGAAGATACTGAGTGTATCGATATATGCCGCAACAGGCTTCAAGCCAGTATCGAAGGGTGTTGTAAGCGATGTCTCCCATTCGTCCGCATTATACGGCCAGCCCCAATACAAGCTAGATTGACCAGGAGGACGGCGACCTAGGATAACATGTACCGGTATCCTGGCTTCCCGTAGGTACTGGAAATGCTTGGCAATCTCAGCTATGGGATTGTTGTTGTTATTGTCGTCGACAGAGTCAGAGTCTGTTCGTAAAAAGCAATCCCAGTCGAAGATAGGTCGCCAGTTGAAAACTTCATTCAGCCATGCATACAACTCCTGGATTCCGACAAGTGGATCATTGATGTTTCCGGAGGAGTTCTTTGTGCTTGTGTTTTCATGTGGCTTGTTCTCAGTCATAGCTAGAGGGTGGATAGGATTCGTGCTCTTAGCTTGCCACTCGGGCTGTCTGATTTTATCAATTAGTATATTTATAGGGTAAAGGATTTTTTCAAGGAGATCAAGGCTTACAACGACTCTAGGTGTATACCATTTTCTTCAGCCTTAAGGCCAGTGGTGTATACAAATCTCAACATAGCCATAACGGTATTGATAGATCCCCTATAGAGGCCTGAGCCTCCGGGTTTACTGTAGAAATCGCGCTTGTATAGAGATTTGGCCTCGTCTCTATTACTTGGAGGAGCGTGGGTGTGGATCTCTGGCAAGCGCGACGCTAAACCCGGATGTTTTTCCTGCACCTTGTCATAGATGTCTCTAAAACTCTTCTGAGCTGCCAGCCGAGCTGTGGAGATAACATCTTCGTCTGACAATTCACGACTCGAATGACTCTGAGTTTGGTCGCTGAATGGGTACATCTGGATCCACGCTCCGAGATCGATACCAACTCGACTAATCCCGGAACCGATTTTAACATGAATAGAGTCAAGCAACTCATTTAGGCGATCGTACGAAAACCGGAGCTCAAGCGAACTGACACTAACTGGAATATGCCCAAGAAACGTATTTTGAAAGTAGTTCTTATAATCCGAGGGTCCCATGTATCCTGTTGGAGTTTCTAATTCGTAATTTCCTCGGATGGAGAGAGTTCGGAGACCTGTGCAGCATGGCAACAAGCGCTCGACCATGATCATCGGAGCGGCCGATGTGCCATCACAGAAGTTCGGCAGACCAAGCCAGCTCAGTTTCTTTAGAAAGGAATCTGTGGCCGAATGGGTCCAGATGCAGAGTGGCCAAGCATCATCTGTGGATCTTGTTATGGCGTTCGGATATGTGCTACTGACATGATCGTTTGTGTTTTTCGGTAAATGTGGCACGTCGCTCAGATCAAGAGCTACTACAGATGTCAAGGTGGAGAAAATCCTGTCCAAAAGTCAGTACACTCAATTCGAATGGAAGTGTTTGCCCAATCCACTGGTTTACTTGGCGAGTACTTACCATTCGACATCTTCCACAGTCATCCAGTGTGCGACCGCAATTTTCTCGACCCATGGTATTTTCTCAGGAAATGCAAGAATCAGACTTCGAAACCGGATCCATGCCTGCCTAGGAGATGGATATCCCTCCTTTATGCCATGATGGCGAAACCCGCGTTGACGCTCCCACAAAAGCTGCCTCTTCTCGTTGAACGCTGAATCATCGTCTGGATGTATCGTATGCCAGTCCCAGTATGTAGATGGCTCGTAGTATACAGCTTGGAGTGCGTCAGATGCACCATGTCCATCTGAACTGTTCTTGTCGTCTGCCTTATTTTTGTAGAGTGCAACACATAACGCAGCACTGGCTTCTCGGCCTGCGTGTCGACAGATTCTTGAAGTGATCTCATCGATAAAGGGCCAAGGTCCTGAGAGTCTTGGTTTTTTAGGCAGTCGGCGTGAACGTTCCAGGGGCGACTGAGAGCTCATTGTGAGTTGATGCGTGTCTCAACATTATGTAACGAACCCAAAGGTGGGATCAATGTATCAGAGCATGAAAAGACGTGTGTATGGTAGTGCAGGGCATGCGAGACATGTTGGCTAAGATGCTGGTAGTTGTCGCTACACCAGCTCTTTGTTCTCGAACAGCGCAAATGTGCTACGCCACATAGTCCGTTTGCGGGTACAAAGGATGTCGCAAAAGTCCCAGAAGCACAGGCAAAGGCAATTTAATGTCTTTGTTAGATGGCTATGCGCTACTGGCTTAGAGTGGAATCACAAAGGGGTGAGGTCGTCAGTAGTTTGTGCTGAGTTTTGACGAAGTCGGAAGTCGCGACTACCCCAAGTCAAATGCGGTCAACAATCAACTCATCGTTGTGATGACGCTGATATCAAGTAATATTGCTATGCACATGTTAGCAGTAGGTGTGTGAAACGTGCCAGAAGTTGTGAAGTTGTAAATATTGATTATTCATATCCAACGACGAGCTCCCTTCATAAAGTGAAAGGGTCTTCTCTAGACGCCTCGTATAATCGCCGCTTTCTCCTGTGCCAAATTCGATTTGTCCGCATTGTTATTGATTGACGTCTGGCTCTTATGGCTGTGGCTGGCGGAACCAAATCAACCTGGGGCTCAACCGATGTGTTACCACGTTTGCGACTCAGTTTGAGTGACAGCAGTATGAAAACGCCGGCAATCAAAATGGCAAGTAGCAGCATGATCTTCCTCTTGATTGTCCTTTTTTGGTACCCGGATGCTACCTTGAGCTCCTTGTCCGCCTCTTTCACGTCCCGCGACATGTTCTCTACGTTGTAGTCTATGCGATCTAGCATGCTGCCTTGGTCAATAACCATAGTCTGCAGCTCTTGGAAGATGTTTGCCAGCTCGATGATGCCCTGAGCAATGTCCTCGATTTCGCGCTCGCGCTGGGCTATCAGTGCTTCATTCGGGTCGTGGCGCATGCGCTGTTGCTTTGTTTGAAGAAGGGTAGATTGTGAGAAGGAGCGATCGGCGTCTGATTCCTGTAGGGCTGGGTCGTTGTAGGGGTTCTGTACCGGTGTTGCCGACCGGAAGGGCGATGCAAAGCCACCAAGATCACGCAGCTCTATGCCGGACGTTAGCGTCGTCTCATACTACATGCGCAGACTGTCTTACTCTTGAGGTATGCCGACTGCTTCTTCCGGAACATGGCGCTCACTTCACCCACGCGTGTGGCCAGTGATATCTTGAGATTCTGGGCCATGATCTCCTCGCCCTGGTTGATGTTGCCCTGCTGCTTCGCCTCACGCACCATGGTCTCTATGCGCTTGATGGCCTGTTGGCACTTTTGGAAGAGACGTGTGATGCCCTGTGTAAGGTGCTCGATTTCGCGCTCCTCCCGCTTCTTCACATCTTCATCGTCGAAGCCAGGCAGCACGTGCTTCTGGTGCAGCTGGTCGAGCTTGCGGGTCTGCTTTGCTATTTCTGCTAGGTGTTCGGTGATTTCGTCCTGCACATCCAGCCATCGAGGCGGCAGCAGGTCCATTTCAATCACCGCGTCGCCGTCATCTTCATAAGCACCGCTGGACATGAGCCCCTGCCGCTCATCCGACATGCGCCTGCTGTCGCCGAAGCCATTGGAACCCGGGCCGGCATAGCGCGTCTTCTTCTGGGGGTGGTGCGAGTAGGACTGGCGGTATGATATAAAGCTGTGGACCTACGTCAGCGAACGAACATGCCAGGGTGGTCGGATGCAAGATGCAGATGCAGATGCAGCATACAGGTTGGTGCGGTCCCGCCACATGCTGGGCTGGCAAGATTTCGGGGATGTTATGTCATGGTAGGATGGAGTGCTTCACGGTGTTTGTTTGCATGCGCGCGCGGCCTATGACGGAGCTGGAGATGGCCGATGGACTTTTGGTGTGTGAGGCGCATTCGCTCATGGTAGCCGTCTGGGCGTGCATCTCATCTGAAGCCGCCTTCCCGCACTGGGCAGCACTAGAGGCCCCTTCCCAACAGCAGGGCGGCACTAAACAGCCCGTCTGACAGACCAGCTCCACTCCAGCCCATCTTCTCCAGCCGCAAACACTACTACACCTCCTTCACTCCGCACCTGCGCCTCTTCTCTACGTCTATCCAACCGTAGTCGGCTTCTGATACCCATTCTCTTCCCCCCAAAACACAAAGCCCTTTACCACAAACACACTTCTCACAGCAAACATGGTGTGTAGCCCCGCGCCGCTTTCGCACTTTCCCAAACATACCCCGCCCTGCAAAACATCACGACAAGTCGCCCACGTGTTTACCGCGCATCGCTAACAGAGCGCTGTAGGCCGATTCCCTCACCGAGGAGCAAGTCTCCGAGTTCAAGGAGGCGTTCTCTCTGTTTGTAAGTGCCGCCCTTGCCGTCGTCGTTGCCCATGGCCTATGCCGCGCGGCTGCCTACAGCCTTATCGAACATGTCAACAGTCCACTAACATTGCTTCCCTCAACAGGACAAGGATGGCGATGGTCAGTACTCCCCTTTCGAATTCATTCGCCTCGGCATATATCTCTTCGAGCCCATTGCTGGTCTGAGGCGACTCCAGTGGGCGTCAGAGTGCCGCGTGTCAGCTAGACGTTCCCAGGCGCCATTGGGCCAATGGGCTAGCACAACAATCATCGTATGCCACTCAGAATGCGGGACTGACCAGGTCGCAACACAGGTCAAATCACCACCAAGGAACTTGGAACCGTCATGCGCTCGCTCGGCCAAAATCCCAGCGAGTCTGAGCTCCAGGACATGATCAACGAGGTCGATGCCGACAACAACGGCACAATTGACTTCCCTGGTATGCCGTACACTCGCACCTGGCAACACCGCACTCGCACTAACCACTTTTCCAGAATTCCTGACCATGATGGCCCGCAAGATGAAGGACACCGACTCTGAGGAGGAGATCCGGGAAGCTTTCAAGGTCTTCGACCGCGACAACAACGGATTCATCTCCGCTGCCGAACTGCGCCACGTCATGACTTCTATTGGCGAGAAATTGACCGATGACGAGGTCGACGAGATGATCCGGGAGGCTGACCAGGACGGTGACGGCCGCATTGACTGTGGGTGCTCGAAGACGCTGGTCTCACTGCTTCAAAAACTAACATGATGCAGACAACGAGTTCGTCCAACTGATGATGCAGAAGTAAGCGTCTAGGACAGCGAGGTTGGAACGAAAACATATATCATGACGGTGACACGGCCGGGGGCTGATAGCGACGAGTGAAGGGGACGATTTGGTCCTGTTGGTGTCTCGTTATACGGATTCGACTGTAAGCGAGACGAGTAGGCTAACTCGGTTGCCAATGTCTCCAAGGAGAGCTCATATACCTATCCTCAATTCATATTCTCACGTGATTTTGTTGGATTCTCCATTGTTTCTGTGTGGGTTCTTGCGTGAGCAGCAAGAAAAGTCTCCTGAAAGCCCACAACCACAGTATCGTGTTCGCATTGGCATGCAGGGCGTGAGGCGGTGCGCAACGCAACCTGCACGTTTTCGGCCTAGGCTGTGAGTGGGTCAGTCATGGCAAGAGAGGAGAGACCCCACAGCCGATCAGACCCTCCGCAAGGGAAAAAACACGAGCGTCCTTTGCTCGTGTCGCGTCGCCTTGCCTTGAGAAAGTGTCTGGCACACCCCTGGTAATTACGATCTTCCCTGTACTTGATTGCGATTCGCATCACTCTTTGCCCAGATCAGCAAGATACCGTAAACCCACAACTATTGATTTTCCTCTTTGCGAAGAAAAAAAAGCGGGCTTCGCTTTCTCTTTCTCTCTCACTCTTACTTTTTTTTGATGGACATGATTGTACGTACGTATCCACTCCACCGCAGCAGCGGGTTTATAACGGGGGTTCATGTTAACACGGTATTGGAATTGGAATTGGAATTGGACGACGAGTCGTGAGGATCAAACGGATGGTTGCTTCCGGTTTTCGTGAGGGATGATGACATATGTACTGTATGTAGACGGGTGGTCGTGGTGGTTATAGTGGAGTCTGTAGTCTGAAGGATTCTCAGATACCCGGGTATCTTGCATACTGCATGCCCTCACTGCTTGACTCGACTCGACTAAACTGACTTGACTCTACTGATCAACCTGCCCTGACCTGACTGGTGTTGTTTAAAAAAAGAATAAGCCCGTGTACATCATGTCGTGATATTCAGGCCGATTAATTCAGGTACCAACCTAACCCACGTACCTACCTACGCCTCCCCACGCAGCCTACGCAGCCTACGCAGCCTACGCAGCCTATGCAGCCCACGCAGCCCAACACCGACCCGACCCAGAACCCTCGCGGCTCCGCAGCTTACCGCCTCACAAACGGAAAGCTTGAATGAAGATCATGGTCCATGTGTTGTACCCTTTCTGAGGTCATTCATTGCTTGCCTCCGTCTGAAATTTGACTTCCGATTGTCTCATTGTCGGCTGTCAGCATGGTCGGTTGTCAGACTGCCATCCGAAAGCGACGAGGGATGGACATGTCTGTGCCTGTTGCTTGCGGTTATTGCGCAATTATTTGTCCGAGTCAAGGGGGCACCGTTACTCTAGGGTCTGCTTATGGGCCCGGATTGGCTGCTGAATGGGGCTTGGGGGCCGTCTGACAGCGGGTGAGCGCAGCGGTGGCACGTGGATGGGAGGGGGTGAGGATAGAGTTTATTTGCTTTTCTGGTTGAAGGATGAGGATGCTGGGGGGTTATCGCGGGAGGGAGGGAAGGATTGGAAAGGAAGCAAGGAATTGGTGTATTGTGTGTATGGTACGGTATAGTATTATGGCTATATCTGGACAAATGGATGTACATTCTCATTTGAGGCTGTTAGCACGTACTTATTCAGGGTTTTGTTGAGCACCTAGCCATCTCACCGTCGATCGTGGACTGAAGAAGCATTGAGATCCCAAAGCTTACAATCAATATATCAATAAATGATTGATTTGTGCGGACGAGCAGGTAGTTGTCTCGTTGCCGCTCTGCCTGGGCCATAGATCCCTCACTGTCAACCAAAGGTTAGTATGGATCTAAATTAAGGCGAGACTTGTCATCTAGTAGGTGAACAAGTTCCAACTCCATTTCCGCAAACCCAACCACGTAGAACATTGTCTATTATTTCCGGATAGAGATACACACGGTATCTCAAGACATCCGAGCCGTTTTAGAGTTCTTGCACGCACAAACGTTTCTCAACGACACAACGGTCAAACCCCAATGTGACGCAAGCATACCACTCAATAAAGACGTATCCTCTCCGCGATCGTCAGGAGTGGTAGTAGTAATGCCAAAAACAGAAGCAATGGGAATTAGAAACCAGATATGTGATCGTCACTTCCTCCGGATGTAATCTACCGGAACTATATTCCGGCTCGAGCTCCGATCAAGGCTGGTTTTGCTCCGCCCTCTTGATCCGCCCTCTTCAAACGACGCGTACGTGAGGTGGGAACCAGGATAACGCAACCCAAGGCAAGTTGCGCGAAGTCGACTCCTTGTCCCGCAAGACGCCACAGCTAACGTGGGTAATACAGGTACAATTGCAGGGACAGGGACCTTTTCTCTCCTCCCAGCAGGATTCCCTGGCTGCATCGGGGAACGGATGGGAAGGAAGACGGGTTGCATACAGAGGTGCCTTTCAAAAGTTATTGCTGACAGGGGGGTCTCCTATTTGACCGAGAAACTACCGAAATACAGACAGATCAGTCTCCACGAACTCTTGGCAGGCCTCTGCCTTCCTTGTACTCATTCCCACCTTCAAGTTCAATAATCTTTTGAACATGGATAGGAATTCTCTCTATCCATGCCTGAATCTGTGACTGTGGGAGATCACTCCAGGCCTGCTCCCATGCTTTTGTGGCCTCTCCTCTACTCTTTGGAGCTCCTTTCTTGGTAGTTCTTCTCTTTAACCATGGCCAGGCTGGCTCAATAGCGTTGAGATCAGGTGAGTTACCACACCAGAAGAGCTTCTCCACACTCTCTCGTTGATAGATAATATTCTGGGCCTGGTGAGCATGAGAGGGAGCCTTATCTTCTTGAACAAGAGTACCTGGCCTCTCTCTCATACACTCCTTAGCAAAGGGGATAAGCTTCGGGAGAAGAACCTCAGTCTGATACCGCCACCAATCAATGCCACCTTTATCATTACCACGAGTGAGCTTCCCATTCTCCTTAGTCCATCTCCATTAGACTCCGCAACAATCAATTCAATCCGGTCACTCTCCTAGACCCACTTACCTATCTAGGTAGGGCTTAAACTCCTATAGGTAACTACTAGGCTTAAAGCGGTAATCAATCAATCCAATCTGAACCTTCTAGGACCCACTTAATTG